CCTCCATATAACGTGTCCAACTGTCAGTTCAAGGTTATGGACATAACTACCGACTGGAACCTCGGCAGACAGTTCGACTTCATCCATGTTCGTATGCTGGGCGATATCGTGGAAAAGGAAAGGTTCGTCGAGTCCATCTATCGCCATCTCAACCCTGGGGGCTGGGTCGAGTTCAGTGAATGGATCGCAATCCTCGTGTCCCCGGATCACTCGCTGGAGGGAACAGCATTTTACAAGTGGAACATGCTTCTTCAACAGGGTCTTCACAACATGGGCCGCTCCATGCACTATGTCTCGCAATATCAGCCCATCTTGGAAAAGTCTGGGTTTGAGAGGATGAAGTTGACAAAGCACGCTGCACCTACGAACGCGTGCTACCCGGGTAAGAAGTGTCAGCGGTTCGGCACCATGATGTCCAACAACTGGAATGCCATTATCGAGCCGCTAAGCGTCCCTGTTTTCACTATTGGTCTAGGCTGGTCCGAGGCCCAGGTTCTTGCATTGGTCAAGAAGGTCCGTAAGGAGATTGACGATCCGAACTACCATTCATTCATGACGCTGTAAGTTTATCTCTTGAAGTCAGGTGAGGTTGGAGGAGGTCTCAGATCATAACTGACAATCATATTTTCGATATCAGGCTTACGATATACTGCCGGAAGCCACGTAGCGGTACATCCTCGTCCGCATCGTTGGCGAGCTCATCACGCTCGGCGGCTCAAATGTCGGTGTCCAATGTCAGTTCACATGGGTAGTAGAAAAAGGAGTCTAAAAAATGGGTGATGTTTTCACAAGGGGTTTGGGGATATCATACCACCACGAAGCGTTTGCAAAGCAAGCGAGCGATTTTATCATCAAAGGAATCTTCTGGTTCCATTATCAATGTAGTTGAGGTTTCCAGCCATTCCATATTCTCGGGTTCCAGCGGAACAGTCCCGTATGTGCATGTAGGTACGTGTATCCGTACATGTAGGTCGTTGAATTGAGGCAAATGCCGCATCTTTTCATGAACGCAAGCGACTTCCTCCCCACCGACGGGCAATTTTCTGCTTTGGGCGGGACTTGTTTTCTCTTCGATTAAGCGATAAGAAGCTGCGTTTTTCATCGGCACAGCCACCCCGCAGTGCCCGCATGCCAGGATCAATAGACTGCTAAAGGATTTCCAGGGCTTCTTATGCAGAATTGCGGCGCAGTCAGGCGACTCGACGCACGCAGGCACTGTGGCACCGCAGGAAGAAGGATTACGGGGGGGGGGGGCAAAAGGGTCCTGTTCCTATACCCTATGATCCTATCTTCTCCAAGCACCGGTAGTCCCGCAGATCAGTGGTGCCAGTTGAGGCGATTCAGACCATTCAAACACCCCTCAATTGATCCAGACCGGCATTGCTACATGTCACATGCATATTCGCCTGCGTGGGGAAGAATGACCTGATATGATATGGGCCAACCGGCTCTTACGGGGGGTCATCTGAGGGATTTAAACCCTTACTCTGCAGGCCGGAGCCAATGGATAGGTAATCCGACATGAACATTAACGAGCACGAAGATGATAAGTTCCTCTTGCCAACTACCTAGCGCCAACAAGACTGCCATGACATACGTAGATGACTTTGGGCATTTACCAGAAGCAGAAGGGAAGCCGGCAATTAACCCACCACCTTGCATATGATAGAACCACTTGGTCCTGGGTACAGATACCGAAGGATGCAGTAGATGTTGCTGCAGAATTCAGGACGGAGCAGACTCCGTCACGCAGGTTCTAATTGGCCAATCCCGACACAATGTACTCTTGTTAACGCAGAATTGAGTAAGGAACAACCCATGCTTGATAATGAAGGAAGCTCGGAATAGGATTCAAGCGCAAGTAAACCGAATAGCCACGGCAAGCGCTCGGTGGCATACTGTCGGTGAGTTGTTATCGACCAGGTGATAATTGCCCAGTTCCCGGAAGGATCTAGGGCTTTTCCCGCGTCCTTTGTGTTGTGTTTCTGCCAGACCTTACTCACGAGTCACGGCAACTCAACGAAGCGCAACTAATTGAGTCGCCTTCATTCCCACCCCCTTGTTGCCAATCTTTCCGCTTCACTCCAATTCATCAATCACCCAGCTCTATCGCCAACAATGGCCGATCTCGGCGCAGACCGCACTGCCGCTTACGGCGCAGTCTACTCGCCCTCATTCCTCACAATCTTCTACGACAAGTACGTCCTGGGCTTCAACATGTCAAAAGTCTGGGGCTGCAGCACAGAAAAACTCCTCCTCCCCTTCTTCAGCGAGAATTTCACCCGCAACCACCTCGACATTGGCGTCGCCACGGGCTGGTTCCCGGCAGCCGCCCTGGCACGGCCGTTCCGCGCAACCAGCAAGCAGCGCATCACGCTGCTGGACCTCACCGCGCCGCCTTTGGACGCGGCAAAGACCCGCGTGCTGTCTGTCACGACGAATACCGAGGTCCAGTGCGTTGAGGCCGATGTCACAGAGTCGCCGCCGAAACAGCTTCTCGGCGAACGATTCGACTCCATTTCCATGTTCAATCTGTTCCATTGCATGCCTGGCGGCAAAGCCAAGCTTCGTGCGTTTGGGCTGTACAAGGAGTTGCTGAGTCCCGATGGTATATTGACTGGTTGCACGGTGTTGGGCCCGAATAAGTCGACTGGGTGGTTTACCAAGTTCTATCTCAAGTGGTACAACAAGTGGTGGGGTGTTTTCAACAACTGGGACGACAAGGAAGAGGATATTCAAGAGGCTCTGGATCAGGAGTTTGAGGAGGTTGAGACATGGGTTGTTGGACAGGTGATGTTGTTCAGGGCAAAGAAGCCCAGGAAGGCGCTTCTCGATGTTTGAAATTTGGGACGGGTTAAATACCTAGGTACATTATAGCGGTATGAGTTATGAGTTAATGAGACGTGTGCACGGCTAGGCGTAGACAACTAGCTCTACTAACAATACGGAAATAAAAGATTCAAGTTCTCTTCCAACGCGGTTTACTTCGCCTCACACTCCATGGGATGAGCCATTTTACCGAGACATGCCTCAAAATGTTGCAGGACTCGTGCATGAGTATCAAACTACCTTCACCCCAGTCTCATTCTATCTGCGTGATAGAATCGTAATAGAACTGAGCTCTCTCCCGAATCACCTGAGTTTCTGTTGTGTTTCTCGCCAACACGATACTATCTGCTTCAAAAGTCTTCCGTGCTGCGACTCCATCGTCGCTGCCACACCAAATCCTAATTTCATGACCCAAAATCTTGTCCATCGTTCTCTTCATATCCGAGTTCGAATCAAGAGCTTCACGATGGATGGTTTGAGCCTTTATATCCAATCGAATCAGGTTCAAAAGTGTCTCTTCTGGTTTCGCATCCGAGCCTAGTGCAACTTGAGCAGCAGCAGCCAGCCATTCTTCCATGGCTTCGTTCAAAGCCTCCGTTCCTCCTCTAGTCAACCTCCCCATCCGATATACCCGTTCAATGTCTCTGGCGTTGCCATCGTCGAGCAGCGCGAACACTGGCTGTGTATCTTCGCGGATTTTCTTGCTGAGGTGGGGTTCTAGTGCGACATCAATGACTAGCGTCCTCAAATCCTCGTTCATATGCCGGGGGAGAATAGTATGGCAGCGACACTCCTCTTCCAGCAGCCAACGGCCAACCATAAAACAATACTCAGCAACTGCGCTCCGAGATGCGAGGACTTTTGCGGAGATTTCGTAGTAGCCGCGGACCCTTTCCAGGTAGCCCTTGGTGATTAGATCTCTGAATCTTTGTTGGCCATCTTTCTCTTCGACCTCGCAAAGACCATCGATGACTCTGAAACAGGAGCCGGCAGCATCATGGACCCTGACTGTCAGATCACTAGACTGGAGGGGTTCGACATATTCGTGCGAATAGGTGAGAAGGGTGAGTGTGTGAAGTATGGATTTCGATGATCGATCTGAAGTTGTGATGGAAGTCAAAAAGACTTTCATGCACTCGTTTAGAAGACTGCGTTCCGTGCTGCGTTCCTGTTAGGGTTTGTCAGTATTACATATCTTGGAATTCCAGAACATCGAACGATAGACTGTTTCCCCAATACCGCCACGAACGGCACATGGGGTGTGCAGCTTCGATGATATATGGATCTTACCAGATATGAAAGCAAAGCAGGCAGCACACTGATTGCTTGCCAGTAGCTCTCCCAAACCTCCATAAAACCCTGGAAGAAACTAACTTCCGATCCCAGGCGCTGATCCCCCGCTCCCGCAAGTTTGGCCATTTGCTTAAACCAGATCGCCCGTAGTCGTTCATCGTGCCACTGCTTTATGTCGGCAAAGAGCTTCTCTGCTCTGCGGATGAGTACAACTTTCCAGATGCGTCTATAGGTCGTTTCAAAGTTTTCCTCGACGGTTTGTTTGTTGTGAATCTGCTCCAAAACGCGCTCTATGGCGTCCCAATGAGTAGAATACTCTGAGCTAGGCGACTGACTACGCAGTAGTTTCCGTTGCTTGGCATCTTTCTGATTGACTATGCCTCGGCGTGACGAGTCGGACATGACTAAGTGCTGTCTCTCACCATAGACTATTAGCAGTCATTCTTTTCCCGTAACCGGCTTTGTTCGTAGATGATGATTCCGTCTGATCCCTTCAATCGGCGGGAGTGTTCCAATCTCAATCGCAGACCTCTCTGATCTGGTCCTTGTACATCTGATGGCACAGAGAAAGTTTGCGCGTACAAGACTCAATACAACGTGATCATGAATGAATTCTTACTTTGCTAGAGTCGATTATTGGCCACTTTCTCTCGCTTACTTGGGAGGTTTCACGATGATCGAGGATGAAAATGCTTACCTGGCCCACCTTCCGTGATGATTGCTTATCTGCCTATTTCGCACAGTTGCCGCCTGTCAGCTTGTGGCACAATCGGTCTTGTTCATTGGTGCCCTCTCCTCTCCAATGTGACGTGGCGTCATTCCATATGAGGCTGGAGCGAACAATCTGATGCGAACCCCACAAACCCTTTGCGTCGTATCCTTTTCCGTTGCAACATGGCTGCTACGGACCATTACGATTCTTCAAACCTTTCTCCCCCCCGAACCGATCTGCCTCAAAATATCGTCTACTGCTGACAATGAATATCTCAGAAGATCCGATTACAGGTCATTACAAAGAGAACGATGTTGTGACGCCCGGCCAACTATGCGTCGCATGCGTTGAATTCGCTCAAGACTTCCGCAAATACCTCGAGGAGATCATGATCGAAGGTATTAGCTCCATCTACAGTCCCTCTGGTGAAAATCATCCGCCTGGGACGAAGGCCGTATGGCCCAAAACCTTTACTTTTCATCACAATCTCCGGAGTCTGAAATCATCGCTCGAAGCGGATTGCCACCTCTGTACTCTCCTATGGCTCACTATGCTCTCTCCGCAATTTCTTGCGGAGCCTGCGACAGGCTTTGATTGGGATGGATCACTCAGTATACGGGTCGAATCGAGAAGTTATAGTTCAGAACGGAGAGGCCAAGAATTTCATCTATCCCTCGTAGAGCCTGGCACAGAATACGCACTTTCTTCAGGGTTCGCAGTGCTTGATCTCAATTTAGGCGTACAGGTTGTCTCAAAGACCTCGTCTGAACAACGGGATCGACATATTCCAGCGAAGGAGGCCTTCAGCGTGTGGACAGGTTCTCCTACTAGCCTGAAGCTCGCTAAATCGTGGATTGAAAGCTGTGTCACAGAGCATGCAGCTTGTGGAGCAGCCTCAAGCAGCCATAAGAACGCAGGCTCTCGACCAACTCGGCTTGTCGATGTGAGTTCCGGCACAGAATTCGTCCGCGTTTGCAGCGCCCCCACGGAGGAAGTTCGGACGGCCGACCAGCAACCAAGAGATCGCCAGTCTCCAATTCATGTAGATTATGTCACATTGAGTCATGCCTGGGGCGGAGCTGAGTTCGTCAAGTTGACGACGCAAAACTACGCTCGATTATGTGATGGGTTTTCAATTCAAGAGTTACCAAAGACATGGCGAGACGCTATCTGTCTTACACGGTCACTCGGATACCGATACATCTGGATTGACGCCTTGTGCATCATTCAAGATTCTTTATGCGACTGGGAAGTCGAATCAGGCTTGATGGGCCAAGTTTATGAGCACTGTCACGTAAACATTGCCGCTCTGGGAAGTACATCGAGCAACGATGGCCTTTTTAGATTTCGGAATCCCCTCATGTTCAAGAATTCCTGTCTTCGAGACGCTCTCGGTAGTTCCGGATGGCCAAATAACCATTACCTTGCTATGGCTGTCATAAGGCCACCGAATTATCATGGCTGGGACTTCGAACATTCGTTACATCACGCGGGAGACCTCGACTACATCATCTCCCTGAAAAATGAGCCACTCAACAAAAGGGGATGGGTCATTCAAGAACGCGGTCTCTCTCCTCGAACGCTATATTTTGGAAAGGCTGGTCTTTTCTGGGACTGTCGAGAAAAGGAGAGACAGGAGATGTGGGCGGACACACTAGGCTGGGGGCCTCATTTTCGCGACCCTGAGCCAACGAACTCGAAGAAGGTATTCTCCTGGCAATTGACGTACTCCGATCCAACAGAGCAAAGAGTATCGCTCAGGTATATGGGCTGGCGAGAGCTCATCAGGGAGTACTGTGCTGCGGAACTCTCCTTCGAGTCCGATAGACTCCCAGCCATATCTGGTCTAGCGAGGCTCATTGCAGCAAATCCAGACATGAAGTGCGCATACTATGCTGGCATCTGGGAAAAGTGGCAGATAGACGATCTGTTGTGGTGCATCAAAGAGCCTGTTGCATACGATACGGAAGCTGTCGACCCTAACGTCCATCGAGCGCCTATTTCCTTCTCGTGGGCTTCAATTGGAGGACCGTGCAGAATATGTTGGCCATTTAGCGAGTATCAGCTCACAGGGAAACCGAAGCAGATCCTATATAGTGCCCAAGCGGTTGGGCGTTGTGTCCCTTTTCGACCTGCAGCATTTATGACGGCTGACTGGAAAAGTGACGGACAATTTGGACGCATAGTATCAGCATCATTCACTCTCTCATGCTTGATTTGCCCGTTATCTCAGACCGAGGTAGAGGAGTGGAGTGAGCGGGGGCGACAAGGAGATTTGTATAAGCTTAAAGATCATCAAAAGGCGAGACGGGAGACGGGAATCAAGTCATTCCCGGACAAGGAAGAGGGCAAGCATGTTGCAACTCACAGGGCCTCTCTTGCTAATTTGGACTTGATCGAGCCAGATCAAAGCTACCGTCACAACGAAGATTTTATCGTTGACTTTGGCCTGATCCTATCAGCGAGTGGCAATGGTTTGCAGAAAAACGCTACCTATAGACGTTTGGGCATGTACTATGATACCTTCTACGAAGAATCATACGTTAAGACCCGGAGAGGCATGTATCAACACGCTAGTGTCACACTTATCTGACTCAGGCGGAAAGCATGGTTACTATACTCGTGCAGAATTGAGGAGGCTTTCTTGCGTGGGAGAACATTTTGGCCAAATCCAACTCAGTTTGAACATCACTTTTCCAACTCTCTTCGAAAATTGACTGTCCCAAGCCTCGATTTTAGTTCTATTCTCTAGGCCTGAAACCATTATCCTCATAAACATATAAACATATAAACATAGTAGAAGTCGCAGGCCGTCTTTCACACAGTGTTCTCTTGTTTCCGGGCTTGAACGTCGAGCTTTCTTTGCTTTCGCCACTCCTCGGCATATCTTACGCCAAAGCCGTGCTCGAAAACCACTCTGATCTCCTCCAATGTCATATTTGCCGCTTCCGGGAAGCAAAAGATCACAAATACCCAGCCAAAGAACGACAACCCAGCGTAAAGACCAAAGGTGCCTGAAGGAGTCATACCCCGCATCATTGACAAGAATGTCGAAGAGACGATAATGTTGGGACCCCAGTTGAAGATGTTAATCATCATAGTACCCATAGCTCGGACTTCCATTGGGAGAAATTCGTTCGCTTGCCATGGGACACAGCCTAGGCCGGCAGCATAGAACGCCACGAACATGATCATCGCAACAAGAACCAGGTTTGCGGACCAGCCCACCTCTCTTGTGGTCAGCTCCAAAGTGTTGTTGTCCAGGGGGATCCAGTGGAACGCAATGGCGGCGATTGCGAGGCAGACAGGCATGCCCCACATCGTCCAGAGTAGGATTCTTCGCCGACCGATTCTGTCAATAAGGAAGATTGATAAGACTGTGAATATGAAGTTGGTGCCAGCCACAACGGTACCGACAGCAATGGGGTTCGAGAAGCCGACGATCTGGAACAGACTCGCGCTGTAGTACATCAAACAATTAAAGCCACATAACTGCTGAGCAGCCATGAGGCCACAAGCCGAAGTGACCGCCCGTAGATTGGCTGGAACCTTGAATAGGCTGGTGACGGACTTTCGAAGGGAGATTTCTTCGTTGAGGACCTTGGCCTGGTTGACGCCGCGCTCAATAGAGATGACCTTGTCCGCAACTTCATCTTCGCTGCCGTTGGGGTAGATTTGCTTCAGAACACGGATACAGTCATCCCGGTGGCCGTGGAACATAAGTTGACGGGGCGACTCTGGGCACCAGAATAGGAGGATACCAAGTATCACCGACGGAACACCACCAAGCCCAACCATGTATCTCCAGCCATGCGCTGTTGCGTTGAAGGCTGCGGCAAAGGCGTACGCAAGCACGGATCCGGCACCGAGGAAGATCATGTCGATTGAGATCATTCGGCCTCGGAACCTAGCAGGTGAAATTTCCGCGATGTATAATGGTACGATCTAAGAAGACAACTTATGTTAGCATATGATCTCCGGTCGAGTCTACTGAAAGGAAAGCATAGAGATATGGAGATTTACCATAGATGCAGATCCGACACCAAATCCTATCACAAGTCGACCAACCGTCATTTGCGCAATCGTGAAAGAGGTGGCCTGAAGCAGAGCCCCAATAGTAAAGAGGACAGAGGCGAACCAAATAGCAGGTTTTCTTCCGTACTTGTCAGCAGTTATGCCAGCAATGACAGCACCAATCAAGGCCCCGGCTGCGGTGACTGCCGTGATCAACTCCTTTTCTGAGTGAGTGAGCTCTTTACTATCGAGGTCTTTGCCGATGACAACAAGCACACCGGATATAACACCAGTGTCGTAGCCGAAGAGCATGCCGCCAATCGCAGTTGCCGCAACGCAGAGCCAGACAAAGGTACCTGGTTTGGTTTCCTCGATCCGCTCTAGGTCACGATTCTCTACGGCTTTGATGGCATCGCTGACTGCATTGTTCTGCTCGACATGCTGCACGCCTTGTTTGTGGGAATCATCTGGTAGGCCCATGGTAACGAGGGCCGTATATCGGCAGATTCCTGGCTAGAAGAGGGTGTTTGTATAGAGAGATCTCGTCAAAGCATAAAGATTGAGATTAGAAACGAGTCCTCTAAGATGTTGCTCATGTTTACGAATTCAGGGCCGGTGGGATGGTCGAGCTTTATAGACTTTGCAACTTCACCATTTGCTTGGGCGAATGTACCAGATGAACGGAAAGTCTCAAGTTCCAAAGTATCAAAAGCAAGGGTACGACGCTTCGGACTAGCGTACGGGATGATTTCCGGTAGGTTAAAATCGTTCTATGGTGATGCTGCTGCGGGGTTGACCCTTATCTGACAAGGCGAACACTCTCCGAGCCCTCATCTCGATATCTTGCATCCAAGGAAACTCCAGCCGTTTGGCATAGCTCCTCGTTTCTATAGGTCAGTAACACTTTCTTGACTCTAGTTCGTCGTATTCGTTGGGTCTCTAGCGGGTCTGAAGCACGGGGAAGTTTGGGGGAAATCTGGATTCGTGGGGTAGTAGACTAGGATTCATCTGGGGAAATGGAGCAATTGCGAGCGCCCCACCAATTGTGCGACAGTCTATTGCCCAGCTCGTCGAGTCAGGCCTGCCTAGCGCCGCGCCCTTTTTACTCTCTTCGTATAATGAGGCAAGCGTTTCCGTAGCGAACCCGAGCTGCGGGCTGGATCTATTGCCGTTAACAGGGTAGCCAGCACTTGCGTCACGCCAAATGCTTCGGTTTTGTGGCCGCTGACCATTCTCTTGGATGAGTAAACAATTGGGATACGCTGCAACATTCCGCAGTATGATGTTGACGGAAAAGGTCTCCACGAAAGCCCGAACGTTGACGTAATGTCGGAAGTATCCCATTGAAGATAGGCATTTCCGCCGTTTCTCACCCTTTGAGGCCGAAGCTAGAGAGTCTGAACGGTCCTCTTCTGTACAATTAAAGCATCATTTCACCGAGAGGTCAAAATCTCCGGCAAACACCCGAAAGATCGGCATATAAGGGCTTTCCCTCTACAACGTCACACAATGGAAAATCGAGGTATTTGGAATTCTCGGAGATCTCAGATATGATCTGGGACCATCAACAGGGTGCCTTCATGGTTGAGACTCTAAGACTGTTTGCTACAGATAGATGAACTTCTATGATTATGATCACGCAAAAGTATTGTGATACACTCCATTCATCAAGTCAAAAAGTTGTGGTAAGGTGAGGACGCGAGGAAGTGATTGCCTGGGTAGTGTTACTGCTGAAGAGCCAAGCTACTACTACCAGAAGAAGCACGCCTATCAACCAATTAATAGTTTTTTCAGCACGCGACATTCGAGCCTTTAAGTAGAGTGGAATATTGAGCACACTGTCCAATGTTAGGTGAAGGATTTATGATCCTTGCCAGGCTCGGAACTCACTTTCCGGCCGTCTACCATTTGTGAAAGCGACGCCTCTACGGAGGCGCTGTTGAGAGGCTAGATTGTTGGTTTCCAACCTAATGCGCCACGAGTATTGAATCAGACCAATTAGACCGGCTTGGGCCACGTGAAGAAGCCGAGCTGGAAAGACAAATGGCATACTGTTGCGACGATGTGGAGTGGGTAGGCACACCTTGACCGCCAAATGGTCCAAGGGGTAGATCGCACCAAAGAACATTGAATGTATCTACCATTCAAGGTACCCAAGTAGGGGCTTTACCCATGGACAAACGTGCTGATTTCTATTGACTTGCCTCCATTTGGTTCAATCAATCACTTCAAAATGGCCAAGAACCTGAGCGGGACTTCTTGCCTGCAAAGAAGGGTGCGTGAGTAGAGCGTTTCTGTGAAGTTTAGTGTCAAATTGAAAACATGTATGTCGATACATGCAAAGAGAATACTTTCACGCGCCCTTGAAGCTTGGAAATACGGCTTCGTAACATTCGCTCGGGAGGGAAGGTGGGCTTGACAAAGGAGTGGCCATCATTAGAAAGCCTCCATCTTTGGGGTTGCCCCGGAGCATAGTGTATGCCCGGGTCTACCGGGATAATCGCCGAAGATCCACTTCGGCCTCGGACGGTCTCGGGCCCCAAACACCGGCCTCTAATTGCTACCTGCTTAAACGCAAACGGCACAAAGGTAGGCCGAAGTGTCCAAGTCTCCAGTCTTTATCGAGACCTAACGAGTTTCTTTTGTTGCTGCCGGACAACCGGATAATCTGACGAAAACTAAGACTTCCTCAAACCTCAACACATCGCTAGCCGAAAACAGAAGCGGAAGTTGACACCAATGCTCCGTAGTACTTGCCCAGTAATATCATCGTCAAAGGTGGTTGGTTTTCAGAATCAAGGCTTCTTCATGGCTCAGACTTGGAATACTGAAGCTACATCAGTGCTACTCCACGTCGCGTGGCCTCCGACCGGTTATTTTCAGCCCCACAGATCAGAAGGCTCGCCGGCAAATGTCGACCAGACGCCCTCTCTTATACTTTTGCCGCCGGGTAAATCTATGTTGCCATATTAACCAACTCAGCTGCCCTAAAGACCTTAACAATGCTATCATCCAGACACGGCTGAGATATTCCGATTTCCTTTTTCAACCCCTTTGACTGGAGACACTGTTAGGTACGACACCGCAGCTTTTGATGTATGAAAGTTCGGTACATACATTTTGGATGTTGGGATTCCGAGCATTCATCACTATAGATCTATAATTCACACGAAACTATATCGTATCCCTGAGATGTGAAGTGTTGAGAAATATGCCTGCCTCAATTTGAAGCATACAGATCAAGTGTCAAGCTCTTGGGACAAGCATCGCGAAGTTGAAGGTTTTCAACCAAGTCAATTAGATGAATGTTGAACCGATGCCAAGGCCTTGGTTCCGGATGAAGTCTTGGGGAATTTGAGATGGAGCGAAGTGACATTACACCCTTCCTGGGCCCAAGAATGAGGTACGATTGGTTGTCAGAGGCACAGCATTTTAGCTTGATGGCGCGGTGATACTGGTACGAATCTCTGAAAGGGAAGTGTGTGTTACATTCGGCGTTCTTCAGTTGCGTCGATAGAGCGACCACGAGACTGAGCGCAACATGCCACAGATATAAAGCTGCAGACTTTCCCTTAGCCCAGATACTAAAAAACGGAGATGAGAGACAATACACAAGCAATCAGATCACCATGGTTACTCTCAACTCGCTTCTTCTGGCTCTCGCCTCCGTGGCCGGTGTTCTCTCTGCTCCTGGAGAGCTGATGAAGCGCCAGTCAACTCCATCGTCCACTGGAACAAACAACGGCTACTACTATTCATGGTGGACTGACGGTGGATCTCAAGTCACTTACACAAATGGTGCTGGTGGCCAGTACAGCGTTGTCTGGCAAACCGGTGGTAACTTTGTCGGAGGGAAAGGCTGGAACCCTGGTGGTCCGAGGTATGATTGCCCCAGGTATAGACAAGTTTTGAAATTTGATTACTCCTCTGACAGCATCCTGCCAGGACGATCACGTACTCTGGCAGCTATAACCCTAACGGTAACAGCTACCTCGCCATCTATGGCTGGACTAGGAATCCCCTGATCGAGGTTCGCTTCGTGCCTTCTCACCTTATATGTACAGAATATTCCCTAACCTTCTCGCATAGTATTATATCGTTGAGTCCTTCGGCACGTACAACCCATCCAGCGGCGCCACCAAGAAGGGCACCGTTACCAGTGATGGCGGTACCTACGACATCTACGTCAGCACGCGAACCAACGCCCCCTCCATCGATGGCACAAAGACCTTTCAGCAGTACTGGTCCGTCCGCCAGACCAAACGCGCCGGCGGAACCGTCACGACCGGCAACCACTTCAATGCCTGGGCTCAGGTGGGCCTCAACCTCGGTACTCACGACTACATGATTGTTGCCACGGAAGGATACTTTAGCAGCGGCTCTTCCACAATTACCGTTGGCGCTTCTGACGCTGGTGGTGGCGGCACAAGCCCGCCTACAACTAGCCCTCCGCCCAGCAGCGGCGGTGATGGAACCGTGAGACCTCACCTATTCACTCCAGGATATCATTGACTAATACATTCTCTCTTTGCTACATGTAGTGTGCTGCGAAGTGGGCTCAATGCGGAGGCTCCGGCTTTACCGGACCGACTTGCTGCCAAGCTGGGTCCACGTGCCAAGCCTCTAACCAGTGGTATTCTCAGTGCCTGTAAAAGCTGTATTTTGGGAACGGACATGTCGTGTGAGACTTATAGTCTCGCGAGAGAGCACAAGTCAGGGTAATTGAGGAGGCCCTCAATGAACCATATTTCGCAGTCTAGGGCCAGGTTATCTGTAGGAAAAAGACAAGGAAAGTTGGCGACAACTATTGTTCAAATTCTAAGATAACTATGTCTATCAAAACACAAGGTACTTGAATGAACGTGTCAAGGCGCTGGCTTATCTTGAAACGTTTCTATACTGCGGATACTGGGAGAAGTGGACAAAGTTCATGAACTTACAACGTTATTCATTGGTTACGTCCATTCTACATTCAGGCAAAGGGACGGTGTATTCTCAACAAACGAGGCCACAGTTGTCAAGATATCCGTAGTGCCACACGATCCTAACTCCATCCGTGTTATGGAAGGGAGACTCAGTCGCAGCGTGCTCTTTGATATAAATGCACGGTAAAGCCCTTGCCGGACGATGTCCCGTGATTGACACATGCGGTCCTCAATCCTCCTGGGACTCCTGGAACTGAATCAAAGGAACGAATCGTTGATCGTGTCGCAGAGGAATTGTTTAAGACATTCTTAGGCCTTCGATGTATATCCACTCGATGTCGTCTTTTGATCATTCTAGGGAGCAACTTCTTCCAGTCATCTTCTCCATCAACTTCGCCTCTCGTCGGAAATCCACACAACTTGTAGTTCCACGCGAATCCCTTGATCGCGCCCTCCTCATCAGTACACCTGTCTACAGTGCAGAAGTTCATGTGATACGCCCACCAGGTTCTGACCGTACCCCAATCATCATCGCACCACTGCCTGCTAGACATTTTGAAAACGTCGCCGACGCCTATGATCTTGCTGTGATTCCATCCAAAGCACTCTTGGTAGCAGTCGGGAAGCTTGTGAATGGGGAGGACTTCATTCTCGTCTGCAATCATCCAGCCGGAGTGCGTCTTGGGATCTTTCGCCGTGGTGACGCTTCCGAAGACAGAACAGAGGACAGAACGTTTTGTTTATTGATATTCATCTTCGCGGATCTTCAAATGAATTTTGATGTCGTAGATATTGATATGGAAGACTGCGAGACGAGTAAATGCCAAGAACTATTGCGTGCCAAAGTCAGTATGTAATTTGTTTATCGTAAGTAAGCCCCTAGGTGATAAAGTCGTCTGTAAATGCTTAAGAGACTTGGCGGTGGTCAAGAAGATCTAACATCAAGGAAATGGTAGAGAGAAACACAAAGGCAAATATAGCCTATACAACATTCCTTCGTGGGCAGCGCTTGAACAAGTTACAAACCCTAAGTGCAGCGTCTCGGAGTTACGGGGATTGCAGTGGTAGACATGCTGCAGCTCAAATTCAGGAATACAAAATCTTTTGGAGTTGAAATCAAAGCTTTACCTTCCCAAAGACTAAGTACCAGAAGGTAGAGAAACCCTGATGGCTCCAAACTTCAGGTGCTCGTCGACCTATTACCTATCATTCTTAGCCTTGCCTCACTTCATCTAACAGTCATCTCTGTGTCCTGGGCATCCCGCCCCGACAGATCTGTTTCAGTACCCGTAAGGGGCGAGGTCGAGGCTTTGGGTAGAATAGACGATTGCTCTATCAGCAGCCATTTCAATGACCCATCGAAACTATATAAGTGCTAGCCAAGTTATGAATCAAAAACGTTTGAGACAGGCAAAACCAACAGTGAAACAAACAGCGCGTTCAAAAACACATCTACGCACAGGATGATGATAATGATGACAATAATGGATTTTTCCATACCGGTTCCGCTCCCAAGGGGTCAAAGTCGGCTGCGTCGGCTGCGTTGGCTGCCGGAGACTGTCTCTCATCACACCAAGTGCGAATACATTGGCCACAAGGGAGAAATGAAGACCGAAACAGAAGAGCAGAGACACGGGAAGCGTCATAAATCTTCCACCTAGAATAATGCCGTGGGGCTTCCAACAACGGAGTCGAGACAACATACTACCTAGTTAGTTTCGGGTGGCAGATGCAGGATTTCGGGCTGTTTTGCACCAGAGGATCTCTCATAAGAACATTTGTATCCTCAGGTAGGATTTTCATGGAATTGAACCTAGTTTTCAGCCTCTCAGCTAGGTATCATCACTACCTTTACTTAGTATCTTAAGTACATGGACTTATTAGTCAAGTCTTATAGCTTGTCGCGACATGAATTCAAACTGAACTGAATGGTCTCTTCTAGTATCGTTCTGTTACAGAGTTGACGAAGCACTTGAAGCTCCTCATTAGTATTCCGCACAATCTGCCGCTGAGGCGTAGAGTCCCACCACATCTTGTCGCTCTTCGTCGACAGATGGATGTCCTCAAGTTGTACTTTCACCCCGTTATTCACGCGAGCACCTTTGGCGATAAGACGCTCGAATGTCTTGGGTAGGACGTCCGGGGAGGTAGCAAGTATGATGGGCCCTGGTCCAGCGCCGACTCCTCGTGTGGAAGAATTTGGATCGGCTCCGTGGCGTAAAAGTGAGGCAACCAGTTCATCGTTGCAAGGTACTCCTGGTTGACACTGTCTAGGAATTCAATAAAGATGAGTAACTCGATAAGGCACATTCAATTTCATCCTAAGTCCCCTGGCAGGTCAGTAACCAATAAAATGCCTACTAGTGCATAACGAGCCATCGTCTTATATTACCGCTACAGCATTGCCTCTCGAAATCTTACTTATTCTAGAAGCAATACATAGATAATAGAAAGTAAGGACAGTAGGAGTAGCGATGGCATCAACAATTATAGATGCGCTAGCATTAGCAGTAACTGCAAGATTATTAGTAACAGTGTTAGAAGTAGTATTAACAGCAATAGCAATAATAGCAGTACTAGGGGTGACGATATGAGTAGGAAGAGAAATATCAAGGAGAAACAAAAGTGATATAGGACATTGCGTGGCAGACAAAAGCTTCACACAGGGCAATTGCCTAGCTGAGACCAGTGGGGAATATTCCTACATCCCTGCAATAAACCCGATGTCAGCCCGCGTCACTGATACGGATCCTGCCAAAAGTCCCCTGCAAGATGATAGTGCCTTGGAATTGCCAATCTGCAAATGTGGAAGGAAAACAATACCAGCTTGGTGCGGCTGCGCGTCTCAATCTGCAAGTTTGTTTTCTTAATCTCGAAGAAGAACAAAAATTGTTTGAAATGCGATGATTGGCAAGAACGGGCTCAAATCAGCGTCTGGTTTGCGGAAAGGTCCGTCAAATATCGGGCGAAGATGGGCAACAGCTGTTGTCGCCGTGTTTGGCAGCGCCGTATTTCTTAGTGAGCGCGGCTTGCTGGGTGGATTTCCGCCAATGGCGACGATCTCAAAGGCTCCCCAAATTCCTCATCAAAGCTCCAGCGTTGGCGAATTCGATTGGGATGCGCTTAAGCCAACACGAGACATGGCCTACGTGCCCTGTTTCGAGAGATTTCAATGCGCGAGACTCCTTCTCCCAATGGACTGGACGGCCCTAGAAGAGCAATGGCTAGATCACGAAGTGGCCATCGCGATGATAAAGCAGCCAGCCAACGTCTCGGTTCTTGACCCTCGATACGGCGGCGAAGTCTATCTTAACCCAGGTACTCCAACTCGCATATCTTGTAGCTGAACTTGGGCTCACCCACAATGCAGGCGGCCCTGGTGTTTCGGGAGTAAGCTTCCTCAGAGGCGCCTCAAATGGCCAACTAGAATCAACTATCAATGGAAACAATACCGACGGGAGGGTCTTTGACCTTGTCTCCTTCGATCCAAGAGGGGTCGGCCTTTCGACGCCGCGGATCTCTTGCTTCGATGATCCAATGTCTCGACAGCTCTGGCATCAGCTCGGGACGGTCTACAGCGGTGTCGACACGTCGGATCGGATGTTCAACGAGCTTTGGGAAAGAGCTCTATCGCTGGGTCAACTGTGCAATCCCGGGAACTCGACATCCAAGGCCTTGGCGATGAGTACCGTCACCACCGCTCACGTTGCGCGCGATTTGCTTGCCATGGTGGAGAAGAGTGGTGAAGAGAGGGAAAGGAGGGCTCTGGTGGCGATCGCAGAGCTTGGAAAGTCATCGGTGAAAGACCTACCTCATCGTCTTCGGTACAAACCCGGAGAAGAGAATTTGCAATATTGGGTGCGGTAGCAATACTCGTGGCCTCGTATGATCCATTTTCTAACTTGTTCGGTGTAGGGCTTCAGCTATGGCGCGTTTCTCGGCGGGACATTTGCAAGTCTCTACCCAGACCGCATCGAACGAATGATTGTGGACGGGTGCGGAGACTGGGACGACAACGCATCAGGCGAATACAAGGGTTTCCTCCTTGACACGGACAGAGAGTGGCACGAGTTCTTCAACCTTTGCTACGCAGCCGGACCAGAAAAGTGCGCTCTCTACGACGAGAAAGGTCCGGATGCAATGCATGGCTCGGTCCAGCACTTGCTAGACAATCTGGAGACGGATCCAATTGTGATCTGCGAAGACGGCATGGCGTTCCCCGAGGTCTTTACGCGGAACCACCTCGTCCAGGGGATCTTCGGCGCCCTGTACAAACCCTATCGATCACAAACTTGGAAGAAGCTCGCGGGAACACTGGCGTCTCTTGCCAACGGTACAGTCACCGCAGCGGTATCAGACATGCTCCCGTCTCGTAACTTGCGCTTACGTACCGAAGACTGCCACACTCCAGAATGTGTAACGGAGTACACCGGCGAAGGAGCCTGGAGCGAGTTCAACTTTGGCGTCTACTGCCCCGACGGTCACGACTTTCGAAACATTACAAAGCCCGAGATGATCGCGTCGATCAAAAGCCTCGAGAAGCAGAGCCCCTTGTTTAGCACTTCATTCGCCATCTCAGCTAGGCTTCCTTGCGTGGGGTATCCCATCCGGCCCAAATGGCGCTTCGGTGGCCCGTTCGGAGGCAGGACCAAGTTTCCGATATTGTTCATCGGTAATACGTTGGATCCCGTTGCCCCTCTTGAAGGAACACGCCTCAATGTTCCCAAGTTTGAAGGCGCTGCGTTGTTGCAGCAAGATTCGGCGGGGCATTGTTCGCTCAATGCGCCTAGTCAGTGTACTGCGGGCTACGTCCGAAAATATTTGGTATTGGGTGAGCTTCCAGACAAAGGTACTGTATGTTCTGTTGATTACTTGCCGTTTGATGGCTAGATAAATGCAAGAAACTTTTGTATGATGGCCCCTTCTCGATCTCATGACCTGCTGTTGTTTTCATCATCCTTAAGGTGCCTTACTTCGCTTATGAAAACACATTGTCCAAGAGGAAAACGGAGAAAAGGTTGTGGCATAAAGAGTAAGAGTAGTAGGAAAGATATGAAACGGCGAAAGGGGGTTCGTTGTTTACGACGGAATGCTCAGGTACGTGTTGCGAGGATTCCAATAGAGAATATTGACGATGGATTAGAACTTGCGGTAAGCTGTATGCCTGTATGAGCCTCCAAGTCATGTGTACCTTGTAGATGCACAAAAAGCATGGTATCAAGTATTGATTTTAGCCTCTTGGTTCGGAGACAGCTGCGGAGCTGTGGCTCTTCTGGTTGTTCACAAAGGTAGCCTGACTTCCTGACTCATAATACAATGCCAACCTTCTGCCATGATCTTACACCGCAGCACCTCCCATCGAACCAAGAAAAGCATTGTATACTTGATCATACTGTACCTGCAGGTAACTAGTAGCATTTTCTCACACGCATCCCACAACACTTTGGGATTCCTGATACAAAAAACCATCACAACGAGTCGAATTTCTCCAAGATGAACGAAACCTCACACGATGCACAGGCTCTGTGGCTGCAACGCAACAGCCAAAGACGTCCAGGCTCAGTCACTACTCAGGCTTCGAAATCTATATATCCAGCTCTCCCAAACCTACCAAAAGAAATCGTTGATCAAATGATCTACGCTCTATGCCAGTTTTGTCAGTACTGCGATTGCGACCACGAGCCCACGGCTACTGTGCGTGATGCCCTCGAAAACTTCAGCTTGACAAGTAAGGCGTTTCGATACCTTGCCGCGCGACACTTCAACTTGTGACACACCTTCAACTTATATTCCGTCAAGCACTCGGATCCCATCAAGTACGATGCCGCGATTCGTCAGCGAACGAACCAGTTAATCAACAGGGGCGGCTCCTTGGCCAACATTCGACACGTTGAAGCCAATCTGTCTCTGCATTGTACCGGGCTTCATTCAGGGGGGTGCCACAGTAACTGCCCCAGAGATTTACACCCCTTGATTCCGAGAACACTGGCTTCGTTAAACAATCTAGAGGAGCTCGACATCCTCATCGACCAGGCCCTACTGGTCTAATAGACGCCAAGCTCCCGTCCCTCGGATCTTAGGCTGGGGAGTCTGCAATTCGATCAGAAGTCTCCGGATCCTCTGCGCTCGCTCCCCAAAAGGTCGAGACCCAACTGATTGCTAAGCTTGCCAATCTCACCTACCTTACATTCGTGGCATCACGAGACTCCAGTTCTATGGGGACCATGTGCCCTGTCACGGTTACCCAGCCTTGGCTCGTCTCAGACATCTTAAGCTAACGAACTGTAGATTATCTTCATAACTAGCTTCCACCTCCTGCTGGAGCACTGCAGATTGCTGGAGGACTTCATCTTCAGTCGGGGCGAGTCTCCCAACGGTAGTATCATTCGAGAGCTTAGTTGGAACTGCAACCTCATTCCCGAGATCCTCCTTCCTGAGATCGTCGACTTACTTAGCAGACAGATACCCAACACTTTGAAATGCTTGTAAATCAGGCCATGGTTTGGATGGGTGGGTCAATGCACACCGACAAAAGTGTACTGCCGTAATCGTAATGAGTTTATCCAGGACAATCGGGTAAGAGGGATTGTGATCAGATCACTTCGGCACTTCATCAAGCTTGAAAATGTTCATCCGGGCCAAGATGTGATACTCGGACCCTCGCAGTGCATGATCCCTGATCACAATGGCCACCTGCTATTGAAAATGTTTGCTACCACCATCAAGACGCTGAAAGTTTCGGGGGCGAATGAATACCTCACGCCCTGCTTAGCAAAGCTACGCGAGGCGAAAGCGACGTGGATGAAGAACCTATGTGAGATCTTTTTGAGCTGCACAAACCCGCTTCTGGATCAATTTGACACCGTTGAAGGAGGAACAGAGTTTGGTGAGTGATCGGCCCGACACTGACGAGAACGATCTGGTTTATCTCACACGGGGCTTCAAAGAGAAAGGTGTGATTTTCTATGCAATCAAGCGAAGTACGTTAGACTCGTATTCGGCTGAGATGTTAGCAGTCAGTGGTACAGACCAGGGGGCAAGCGACATGTCATAGAATATTCGAGATACTACCACGCATTAGCAGGTAGGTAGGTAGCTTTAGGTACCTAAGTAAGTAAGTATCTAGGTAGCCAGACAAATCTTTTGATGAAAATGCTAATTACCTTGCGGAAGAGCCACCGCTTGAAATTGAGGCCAAGACAGTCAAAAGTGTTGATATATTGGTCACTCATACTGGTTGTTCATTTCATTCTGCGTTGTTGGTCAATCGCAACAACGACTTTAGGGGACGATTTCAATCCCCTGAAGTCGTGCCTGACCGATGCTCACCGAGGATGGCCGAGCCATGAAGGTTGCAAGAATGGGCCCTCTTCGGTAAACTTCGGTCAGGGAATTGGTGGGTCCCGAGGTACAGGTGGGGCGCTGACACATTAGCATGATTGGCCGATCTGGAAATGCATGAAAGGAATGTTCGCCGGCCGGCCGAACTGCAAGTCCGGACGGGGCCGAATCGGGAGCTTCGACCGTCGGTGAAGCCAAAACAAGCGAAGGGCAAGAAAGAAACCGTTCCCCATGAAGTGCCTCGGCTCACCCGCTCCATTTCAAAGCCTCCTTGGACGATGGCGACAGCATCCAATCGGGGTTCGCCCAACCTCATCATGTCCCATTCATCTCGCACTCGCACTGCCCTTTGCGATTGGCGATGATTAGTCGCGCATCCGGTGCCAGCCAAACAGACAGCTCATCAGCCATGCCAGTATCTGCACGTACGGAGTATTACGAATACAGATAGCTAGCTGCGAGAATTCAGGAACGAGGGTTCAACCCCGACAGCCCGACACGAGGTGGATGACAATCCCGATTATCTCTGGACCTTTGAGTTTCAGCATTTCTAAGCCTGACGGCATTGCACATCCTTGGCCCGCCCCAAACCCGCTTCTCGAACACTCAACCCACCCCGCGACCCTCCTTTTGGGATCATCAATGGAACGGTCAACGGCCAGCACCCCAGCACATCTCCGTTCCCGACGTCCCCGTTCCCGCATGGTCGCATCGGCCGCAATCGCAAGCATTGCAGCTTCGCTTCCGGGGGACCCTGAGAGCTGTCAGTTACACTACCGAGCCATTGCGCGAGGGGCTGATGACAACGTCTGCCTTGCGCCAGACTGCCAGTGGCCGCTCGAATCCTCCGACATCCAAAGGCTCCAAGGGAGATAATGTCCCACCATCTCTTCAGAGCCTCCGACAAGCTGAGAGCCCTGATAGGCCTAACGTAGACAGCTGAGCAAGAGATGACAAGCTGAGGTGCCATTGTCTCAAGCCTCGGCATGTCGTCATGTCCGATTCAACCCAGCCCCACCACGGGAACGAGACGAGACGCGGACGCGGACACAGATGCAGACGCAGTCATTGCAGACACAGTACGGAGTAATCCGCCGCCTGTTGGTACAGATATCTTCCTGGACTCCTGGATTCTGCGGCCTGCGGCCTGCCACCTTCATATCGAGTATCGACTTCGCGTCCCTGCCCCTCGGAGCAGAAGCAGTCTACGGATAGCTAGGGTCGCGCGTTGCCCGTAGCCCGCCAGCCCCTCCTTAACCCATATGAAGAAAACGTCCGGTGGAAAAAGACCCTCCGACTCCATTCGTTGTTCGGGCGGCCACTCCGGGGAAATCGGCCACACGCCACACCCACACACCCATTTTTGTTAGCCATCCACCACTCTCCATCCGAAAGTCTGCTAGACAATCTGTGTGCCCATGCACACCATGGTACCGTACCGTGTTACCGTGTGTGCGTTGACTGTTCAGAAAGGGGACAGACACACAAGAGAAGGGAAAGCAAAAAAATTAAAAGCCTTCAGGCCTCATCCCTACTAGTTCGTGCTCCGTGCGCCGGAGAACATTCCTCGATCGTTCGCCAGCTCGTCGAGTCCTTCGGAGCTCGTGCGGGCCATTGCCCCGTCTTGGTCATCCTGCTCCGGCGCGGGGCATGAAGTCATGACATGAGCCAAAGGCAAAAAACTCGGTGCAAGCGACTCACGTACCACCGTCCACCGCACACGCTTGACCGCGGCCATGAAGCTTGGAGGGGTAAGTGTAATCCGCGAAAGCGGCGGAGGAAACGTGGGACACGAAAGCAAACGTGCGATTTCAGAGTTTGCGAAATAGGCTGGATGTCCCCGAGTACTAAAGCTCCCTCTGCTCCCCAAGCTTTCTCAACTTGGAAAGGCTTTGGGTTCAGCTGTGTCTTCAATATTGTGGTGCTTGCTTATAATCTCAAATACATACCATTCGTCTTCCTTGATACCCTTTTCCCTCTTCACACACCATCATATCTAAAATGTCGCAACAAAACCTTTCCGTCGTGCTGGCCGAGCGTCCCACGGCTGAGATCATCCCCGGCAAGACTTTCAAGACTGAGCAGAAGCCTATCCCCAAGGCCGAGGACCTCAAGGATGGCGAGATCCTTATTGAGAACTGGTACCTCTCCCTTGACCCCGCCATGCGCGGCTGGTTGAACGGTACGTAGAATCACACAGACACCAACCCTCCTCGATAGATGCTGACGGAATCCCCTCATGAAAGACCGCCGCTCATACCTTCCCCCCGTCCAAATCGGCGAAATCATGCGCGGCGCAACCGTCGGCCGCGTCCTCGCTTCCAAGTCCTCCAAGGCCAAGGAAGGCGACGTCCTCCCCTCCTTCGGTGGCTGGGCCGAGTACAGCGTCGTCCACGACAGCCGCGTCGAGCCCGTCTCCTCCTTCCCCGCCGTCTCCCAGCCCATCGACTACCTCTCCGGCATCGGCATGACCGCCCTGACGGCCTACTTTGGCATGCTCCGCGTCGGCGACCCCAAGCCCGGCGAAACCGTCGTCGTCTCAGGCGCCGCGGGTGCCACCGGCAGCGTCGCCGGCCAGATTGCCAAGCTCAAGGGTGCGCGCGTCGTCGGTCTCGCCGGCTCGGACGATAAGTGCAAGTGGTTGACGGAGGAGCTCGGCTTCGACGTCGCGCTCAACTACAAGGACCCCGAGTTCAAGCAAAAGTTCAAGGACGCCACACCCGACTTCATCAACGTCTACTTTGACAACGTCGGTGGCGAGATTCTTGATATGGCGCTGGCGCGTGCCAAGGAGTTTTCCCGCTTCGTCATGTGCGGCGGTATCAGCCAGTATAACTCTGCGACGCCGCAGGGCCCCAAGAACTACGCCAACATCATCACGATGCGCATCAAGATGCAGGGTTTCATCGTCTTTGACTTTGTTCAGGAGTACGGCCAGGCGCGCAAGGAGCTTGCGCAGTGGCTCGAGGAGGGCAAGATTAAGCGCAAGGAGACGGTCGTTAAGGGCGGTCTTAAGGCGGCGGAGCAGGGCCTTGTCGACCTGTACAAGGGCATCAACACGGGCAAGCTGATTGTTGAGATCAAGAACCCCAAGGATGCGGCCAAGTTGTAAAGAATCCCAGACATGGTCTCTGAGGAATGATTTGATGACACTGTAATTTTATGCATAATGACCAGATACTGGCATATATAGAAAGGCATGCCAAACAAATTGGAAAAAACATTACAAATATCTTCTATTCGCACTTGGTGCCATCAGTCTAGCGCCGGTGGAGTTAGCACGCTGTCAAACTGACCTTGCCCTTTCGCACCTACTATGACGGAGAACAGACCATGGCGGATGAGATGTGCCTCCGCCCTTCATCACCTTGAACCCCTCGTTGGCGATGTCGTTGGTGTTGGTGAATCATCGAGTCATGGGCTGGGATCGTTGTGCTGAGGACCATGCCAATAACCAATATAATCATAAAGGCAGCTATGTATGTAAGCGGTGTAAGTCCACCAAGGTGCCCACCATCACCAGCCTGCCCCAAGCTCCTCGTTTCTACCAGGGCCATCCCATCTTGAATCATCAACTTTCTCGACGTTGCCCTGGACACAGCTGCAAACACACACAGGCAGATTTTCGAAGCACCTTTACAGCACCTGTTTGAACTCCAAACGTTTGCATGTCTTGCTGCGTCGACATGGCACATTGCAATTTCCTTCTCTGACCTGCAGGGCACCACCTCTTTTTTAGGGATTTTTTATCAGCGCGGCTCGCTCGGAGGCACACGGAGAGGACATCCCAGCACCACGGCGTCGCAGGTAAATTTCCTTTCAGGAGGCTTGCGCATTCCCTCGCGGCGAGAAGCGAACCCTCTTCGTACGATTCCTAGACGAATAGAGACGGCCGATTACGAGTTTCAGGCTTTGGAAAGGTCTACTTCTCACGTAAACCTCCTGCAAAGTACTGACCGTGCCGACCACCCCCGCCAGCTCTGCGTGCCTCGAAGCGAGACATTCCACTCCAGATCCACTCGCAGTTCTTTACCTTTGGAATGCGCCCAGCCTCGAGTAAATGGTGGTGATATCTGCCACGCTCCAGAAGACCGTCGCTTAACACAGGCGTGAGGGTTGGAGACGCAAAACACGAGGACGCTTTTTTGGAAACCAAGGGCTTCGACACAATAAAGAAAGAAAGACCACCAGTTTCTGATACCCTGCAGCACGACCTCGACAGCCCCCTAGTCGTAGCCTGCGGAGCTCACGATTGACCCCGACGTAAACATCCTATAACTCGAAATCCTACCGTCCGACCTTCACAATGGCTTTATATTCAGAAGAGGCCGCCCACCTCCACAGGCAAGCAAAACGACGAGCCGAACGAGCCGCAGCCGAAATGAACTTCCGCGAAGTGACCTCGGAGGAATATCTCAAGAAACTACGAGCCAAACGGCGCCCGGGGAGACGATTCGAGATCGACAACACACCTGCCGCGGTAGAAATCGGCGAGGAGCCGCTACCTTCACAACGAGAGTTCAAGCTTTCGACAGGCCCAGACCGGCAACGAACACATGCCCGCACAAAGTCAACGCCGACAGCGAACACGAACGGGCTATCAACATCTGGCAGCCGCAGGACTACACTCGGTAGCCCAATAGCGAGGAATACTTCAGGGAAAGCTATGGTTCCTACTCAGAGGTTAGCCGTTCAGCAGACGAAAAGCCAGCCGAACCTCTTCTTGCAAGCTGCACAACAGCGTCCGAATCCGGCGATAACCCATGCCAACTTGGGCACGACTACGACAGTCTCGTCGTTATCATCTCAGCCCCAAAGATCGAAATCAAGTCTGAGCATGTTCTACCCCAAGAAACATGTTCGTCGCGCAGCGTCCGTGTCCGTCCTGTCGTCAAAGCCATTGGAATTAGACCCGATAGCCACGGCCCATCAAACAGGCCACGCTCGAAGCCAATCGCTTGGCAACACCCTGTCTGTCCTTGATCCCACACCGCACCCTGTTACTCTCAAAAAGCGAGGCTCGCTGCGCATGCTGAAAGACAAGCTTAGAAGAGTAGCCAGCTCCTTCGAACTTCGATCGGCAAGGAGCGACGGTTCAGGGCTCAGTGATGACGATAGCTTGAAGAATCGTTCCAGCAAGAGTCTGCTACTGCGAACGCGGAACAAGTTTGGCTCGCAGCACCGACTCGGGACCGTAAGCGAAGAATGAGTGACGATGAAGACGCAAGTTGGTTTCAGACGCCATAAATCTAGTGGTCCGGGATTAAAGTCCTCTACGGTTACAGCACTGGAGGACGTCTGCATTGTGTACGATTGACGTGGACGAGATACGACAGCTCTTTGATGGAGCAATGTAGTTTGTACAATTTTTTCACGCTTGTTCATATCTAGGCAAAGATACCCAGTTCATCTTCTATTCACACTTGCTGTGTCTGCCTCAAGCCATATCGCAGCGTCAACTATTGGCCGCCAACTGGAACTGGGGGCAGAAAGGATAGTCGATGTATCCAGTTGGAAGCTGTGGGGTGTAGAAATACGTTCGTTCGTACTTGTCTAGCTCGACACCCTTCTTGATGCGGAAGACAAGATCGGGATTCGAGATGAAGTACCGTCCAAAGACCACGGCGACATCGTACTTTTCATATGTTTCGTCCACGGCTGTCTTTGCAGAACTGGCATTCAGCCCGCCAGCAAGCAGGACTGGGCTCGTATTTTGCCAACGCTCAATCAACCAGCGCACCGTCCGTTGTCCGCCGCAATCGGTGTCATCATTACCGCTGATCCGCGCTTCGATCAGATGGAGATAAGCGAGCCCTAAAGGCTTCAGTTGCTCAACCAAGTGCTCAAACGTCGGGTCCGGGTCGTCCATGAACATGCCCTGGAAATCGCTGTACGGACTCAGACGGACGGCCGTCCTATCGGCGCCGACGGAATTGATGACAGCTTTCGTCACCTCGAGATGAAACCGCGCGCGCTTCTCGATGCTCCCACCCCAACCGTCGTTTCGTTTGTTGCAGGTGTCCTGAAGGAACTGGTCTGGAAGGTACCCGTTGGCTCCGTGTATCTCCACGCCGTCGAAGCCGGCCTTGAGAGCGTTGCGCGCGGCTGTCGCGTAGTCCTCGATGACTTGCAAGATGTCATTTTCGCTCATTTCTACAGGGGTGGCGGCGCCTTCAGCAACAGGCACCGCGCTCGAGGATTCGAGATGTAATCCAAGAGATTCTAGTACGTCGGCTCTGCCGCCGCGACCGAGGTGCCAGAGTTGGCAGTAGATGAAGGAGCCCTTGGCATGCACGGCATCAGTGACCTTCTTCCAGCCTGCGATGTGCGCATCGTTCCAGATGCCAGGGACGTTTCGACGCCCGGCGGTGCGGTATGAGATGAGGGTTCCCTCGGAGATGAGCAGAGTCCCTGGTACGCAACCTCTCTGGGCGTAATACTCTGTCATCAAGCGTCAGACAGTGAACGAGTTGAGAGACAACGGGAATTGTGTGCTAACCCTCCATCATTGGAGTTGGAGTCCATTCATCGTCTGCGCGGTACCTTGTTAATGGCGCCAGTGCTAGTCTATTGGAGAGCTGGAGAGGCCCTATGGCCAAGGGCGTGAACAGCTTCGACATGACTCGTAAAAGATGAGTTCAAAGAAGACACAACTAGAGTTCTGAAGGCATCGTGACAGGTCGGAATAAGGTAGATGCGACGACAGAGTTAAAATCAAAGACGTAGCGATATCCCGCCATCGACAGCTTCGCTAGCGCCATTGATCCTGGTCCATTCTCTCTGACACCCATGCCGATGAAAGCCGCATCGGCTTCCGCTCCTTGCTGGTCATACAGTCACCAACCTACCTTAACGCAATCCTCGATTTTAGCATAATTCATTTTGTATCGACACCATCACAAAGGTATTGTCCGAACTGGTGATGACCCTACACTGGCCCACATAAGCCCGTCGCAAACCCGGGAGGACACCCGGGATCTGGGGGACTGGATCGTCTTTCGGAAACAAAACACAGCCAACATTGCGGACGCGTATCGGCACAAAACGTGCCGACAAAGAAAGTCGGACGTGCGATCGGCAACGACAGCCACCAATCCTCGCGCTGTCCCCATGCCGACATATCCAGGGTGGATCACCCACGTATGAATCAGAATGGGAGAATCGTTGAGGATTCCGGTGAACGGCTCAATTGCAATTGACGCAATGGACTCCCGGCAAGCAAGCCATTTTCATCGGTTGCGTCAGATGCCAACCCCAGATCATCCCGGGGAAATGAGGACCGGCGATTCGGCACCGAACATTGTGAGATTCATCTAGACTTGCTACGTAGTCGACACTTCTTGGACTGTTTCCTAAGCCAAGCCCTTTTTCTGGGAATCTTACAACCAAGAGGTTCAGGCTGAGGTTGTCAGGATGAAGAAAGATGCACCTATCACCGCAGCCAAACCGACCCATCCTACGCAAACATCACAACAGGTCCTACGCTCAGCTTCACCCTCCAGCGACGAAGATGCCACCAACCTCCCATCCCCAGCCGGGCACCGCCCACAACCCAAGGACGACACCGATGCGGAAAGCATAGGCGGCCAACGCAACACAATGTCCCGCAAACGCATGCTCCTCGCCTTCTCCGCCCTCTCTGTCTGCCTCTTCGTCTCCTTCATCGACCAGACCAGCGTCTCGACCGCCGTCCCCGCCATCGCGGAGGACCTCGACACCGGCACGGCCACCTCGTGGATCGGGACGTCCTTTCTGATTGCTTCGACGGCCTTTCAGCTCATCAACGGGCGGCTCTCGGATATTTTTGGGAGGAAGAATTTGCTAATGATTTGTCTTGTACTCATGGCTGTCGGGGATGTTCTTTGTGGATTTTCGAAGACAAAGGAGCAGCTTTTTGCGTTTCGGGCTGTTGCTGGTGTTGGTGGTGGTGGGATTAATAGTATCGTCATGATTATTGTGAGCGATATCACGACCCTGGAGAATCGGGGGAAATACCAGGGTAAGTCCAAGCTTGGATCCGAAGTGATCCCCCTCTACGGAAATTTGAGACTAATACTCATGCCAGGCGTTCTCGGCGCCGTCCTCGCCCTCGCAAACGGCGTCGGCCCCTTTGTCGGCGGCGCAGTCGTCCAGGAATCAACCTGGAGATGGGTCTTCTGGATGGTCCCTATCATCAGCGCTCCGGCCGCCGTCACAATTCTCTTCTGTCTCCCGCTAAAGCACCGCCCGGGTAATTACGAAGAAAAGGTCAAAAAGATCGACTACGGCGGTATCGCGCTCAACATGGCCTCGACGCTGCTCCTCCTCGTCCCGCTGTCCGGAGGCGGCGTGTCGTACCCCTGGTCTTCACCGTTTGTCATCGCCGGCGTTGTTGTGGGCGCCGTGCTTGCGGTTTTGTTTGTACTCTACGAGTGGAAGCTGGCGAAGCTGCCTATCATGCCTCTGCGCTTGTACCAAGCGCCTCACTGCAGTGCGTTATTTGGGCAGACGTTCCTCATGGGCCAGGCGTATTTTGGGAATCTGTTTTATCTGCCGATCTACTTCCAGTCTATACTGAACTACGAGCCCCTCATTTCAGGAGCGCTTATTCTCCCCGTCATCATCACGACTTCGGCGCTGTCTATTCTTTCAGGGCAGTATATGTTGCGAGTTGGACGGTACATGCCCTGCATTCTCGCGGGCTTCTTCCTCTGGACGCTGGGAAACGGTCTCACCATCCTCTTTGACCGGGATACGGGATTAGGAAAGTTGATTCCGATCTTGATTGTTGTCGGCGCAGGGATAGGATTGACGCTGCAGCCTACGCTGGTAGGCATGTATGCCAACTCTCGCTCCGAAGACCGCGCCGTCACGACAGGGTTGCGGAACTTCATCCGTACCATCGGAGGCGCGTTCGGGCTTGTGGTTTCCGGGGTGATATTATCCAACACACTGCGGCGGGATCTTCATGGGAAAGACTTCGTTTCTGATGCTGTAATTGCGGAACTTACTTCTTCGACATATACCTTGGACCAAAAGGGGTTCTCAGATGCGGAGAAGGCAGTGATTTTGGAAGCGTATATGAAGGGGTTGCATTACATCTTTGTGTACTATGTTATTTGCACTGGATTGAGTTTGGTGTTGACGCTTGGGGTTGGGAATACAGGGTTGAAGGCGAAGAAACCAGCGCCATCTGAGGAGGCTTCGGAGGGTCCGAAGGGAGTGTCGGGGGATGCTCCGACTGGTGATCGTGAGAAGGTCAACGAGAACTAGGACGCGGAAACGTTGACGAAGATACACTTGCATACAGCAAAAGGCATTCAAAAGGGCATGGCAGTGGTCAAACATAGCATCAGCGGCATTGAATACAATTGAGGCATGTTCGATCTCACACAAAGAACCGCGTCGAGCAAATCTCTCGCGTTACAACAAACTCAAGGTTTCTCAGAATGCGGATATCCGATCAACTTGCCGAACATCTCATCGCGGAGCAGCGGAAGCCAGCCCGACACCCATACCGCAACTCAATGCTGAGCTTTCGTTCAAGCTACACCCGGTCAAGACTCCGGTCAGAGATAGTCCTGGGCATTGCATTAACATGCATCCCCCTCATGCCCCTCGATGAATCTTGTTATCAAGACCATCCCCCCCCACAACCAACGATACCCCGTGGAAAACCCCGCGCCTTATCACCACCCCTGGGTCGACGAAAATCTCCGAAATACTCCAACGGTTCGATGTCATTTGATGGGGGCCACCCCCCTGTTAAATGTAACGCCTCCAACAGCTTGCATCCTTGCCCCTTCAGACCCCGAGATGTGTGTGCGACGGCAATGTGATAACGCGCTGCACGCTGCAACGAGCTGGATGATGAAGACATCAGATCCGATAGGGGAGAGAAGGGTGTGCGCACTGCTGTCTGGTGTAGATAGCCATGATAATGCGCGACGAAGGGCGGGCAGCGTCGCCCGATGACGGATTGACCGGCTGATTCTGGCCGATCGCAGTCTTGGTATTGCTATTTCTACGTCAAGTCGGGGAGTGTCTTCGCGACGTGTACGAGGTGCTTCTTGTTATCTACATTCTGTGTTTCTTCCGTTGACTGCTTCTGGGCGTATTACTGAACAATCAAGCTCCAGGTGTCTCACCTGACCAGACCAACAAGCCATCTTTCATCATGCCTGAAGCCTACCACGCCCATCCAGACTACGGCTACGCCCGCGATTTTAAGGGCTATGGCGAGAAAGGCCTCGCCTGTCCATGGCCTAACGACGCCAAAATCGCAGTCTCCTTCGTCATCAACTATGAAGAGGTTCGTCATTACAGCCCCCCAGCTCCTCTGGAAACAAACAAGAACAGGCCCATTGAAGCACGGCTGTACTGACATACTCCCACAATAGGGCGGCGAACGCTCAGTCCTAGCAGGCGACGGGGTCTCCGAAACCAACCTCCGCGAGAATCCCATGGGCCCCGCAAAACACAACGAGCGCAATTACAGCGTTGAGTCAGAATACGAATACGGCTCCCGCGCAGGCTTCTGGCGCCTCTTCCGCCTCTTCAACTCCCGAAAGATGAAGTTCACCCTCTACGCCGTCGCCCAGGCCGTCGAGGAGCAGCCCGAGGTTGCGACGCGGTGCGTGGAGGAGGGCCACGACGTTGCCTCGCACGCTTACCGCTGGATCGATTACCACGACATGCCGATCGAGACGGAGAAGGAGTATATCCGAAAGTGTATCACTTCGCTCAAGAGGCTGACGGGATATGCGCCTAAGGGATGGTACTATGGTCGTAACTCGCCGCATTCGAGGACGCTTGTGCCGCAGGTATATGAGGAGATGGGGGAAGATCTTGTGTGGGCGAGTGATACGTACGCCGATGATGTGCCGTACTGGGTAGATCTACCCACTGAGCGGGAGAAGGTTGATCCAAAGGGGTGTCTGATGGTGCCGTATAGCTATGACTGTAATGACTTTAAGTTCCACGTCACGGGGTCTGGGTTCCGCGATCCACAGGGGTTCTACACACATTTGAAGAACGCATTTGATGTGTTGTACGAGGAGGGACAGGAGGGGATGCCCAAGATGATGACGATTGGGTTACACTGTCGTATCGTGGGACGGCCGGGAAGATTGGCTGCATTGAGGGACTTTGTGGATTATATTGCGAAGAAAGAGGGCGTTTGGGTTGCTACGAGGACTGAGATTGCGGAGGCGTTCAAGGCGAAGTATCCGTACAAGAAGGGCCAATTGGCATGAGAGACTAGAAGGTGTCGATAGGATGTTGATATTGGGATGTTTCATGAAGGCTCTTTTGCACTGTTCGCTCCCTTCACTCACTGAGCTTAGTATTGCCTCCAGATTCGCTTCACCACCACATCCACCGCCCCTTCAGCCCGAAGTACTCTAAAATTCTTTAAAAGGAGAAACACATAATAACACTAGGATCGGGCAATCCTAAAAATGGGAAAGTATGGTGAGAAAAGCAAAAGAATGATCAGTGGGAGGCTTGAACTCCCGGCCTTGGCATTACTCAACATTTCTGATGAAATATTAGTACCACGCTCTAACCAACTGAGCTAACCGACCTATTTAGTGATGACTAATCAACTGGTGCCCTTCAATGCCAAGGTCAGGACTCTTGGATCGATCTGGGTGGGCCCCGAGAAGTCTGGCAACCGTTCCTTAATACCAGTCAAGCTTGTCCGACGCGGAGAAAACTATTAAAGACGCCATGTATCAAACTATAGACATGAAGGTTATCGTGACGGGCAACGGGGAAATATGAGTTTCTCCTAGATAGTAGAGGAAACATCTGTGATTTAGTCTATAAATGCGGAATACGTTACAGAATATGTTGAGTCTTTCCATACCCCAAAATCTTGTCTCCTACTCAGACTTGTGATAAGCTCTACTCGTTTTGCTTGTATTCAGATCAGATTACTACATGGACATGGCGCCCCAGAGGTCAGAGTTCCCACTCGGCATTATGTTCAATAAAGCCCGAGACAAAACTTAGCCATGTTAGAAGGATCTCAAGTTCTCGAGAGGATCTCCAATCGGTGCCTTCCAGACCGGAAGCGTGACTACAGGGTTGAAGTAAATGGGACTGGACTCGTACCCTTATAAGTGTTTGGCTCTCAACGTCGCCGCCCAGACGTTCAGTGCCGTGCTGTTTGTACCTACTTACCTCATCTCTAAGTAATATAAAGATGCAACCAACCTAACAAACTATTTGCGATCTACCATTTCGCAATAAACCGGCGCCAATAGCTCGTGAAGTTCCCACCTTGAAAATTGTCTTCAGCTCACTTTTCCATGCCCATCGAAATCCCAGTCTGATTCCGTAACGTCCTGATCTATCCCTTGTTTGAGCTCTTCCGTGAAGCCCAGCTCATGCCCAAGATTATTCCACTTGCTGTCCGGCCAGTCTCCTTCGTGATAATTTCCATAGACCTTTCCAGATTCATCGGCGAGATCGGGCTGCACCATTTCGTTAAACATCCTCCAACCCTGCCAACCGCCCGGTGCTTCTTCGTCCGCCTCCATAAACGCCTCTTTCACGGCATCAGAGATCGCATTAGTCACGGATGACTTTTCCTCGGCCCCGCTGCTCCCTTCAATGGCCATGCTTCCCGGAGTTTTTGCGGGCGCCATCGGCGGATACACCCCTGCATTCACTCCCAGGTCTACATCGAGGGGCTTTGATCCTTCGTCTGGGCCCGTTATCGGATCAACAATTGTCTTCAACAAACTTCCCGAGAGAGCATCAAAGATATCGCGGTACTTGATCGCGCCATGAAACTTCTCGCCAAAGATGGTCAAAGACTGAGAACATGCTCTCGTAGCTTCGAGCGTGTCATACGAGAAGAGAGAGCGGTCCCGCCATAAGCAGTACACCAGTGTTAAACCCGCGATAAAGCACGAGTGGAGTGCCATCATGGTGTAGCTGAGCGTCTTTTGCTGGTTGAGACGCTTGTATGCCGTGCAGACGCGGGCGGCGGACTGGGCGGTGGTGATGAACCGCGAGTCGGAGGTTTTGAGAGTGGGGAGGAGTACGGTAAAGAGCGATAAAACTGACTTGTAGTATTGCCTTTGTTCTCTGTCAGGTTTCAACAGTATGATGTAGAAGAAATTTATGCAAACTTACAGATCGAAGAAATCTCTAGAGTCGTGATATGCGCTTTCCGGATCATACATCCAAGTTATGCTTCCAGCGTCTTTTGGCGGATGAGGGACTGTTCTCGCCCACTCATCGAGCTCGGCTCTGACTTCTCTCATTTTGGAATCGAGTTTGACTCTTTCTTCCAAGGACTCTGACAAGACGTCTTTATCAACTCGGTATACTCGGCGGTGGATCTTGGATTGTATTCTCCGGAGCTTGATAATGTGGATGAACGGTTTCATGTTTGACCAGGGCATTTCTGATGTGGTTGACGGGTGATTTAGAGCTGTCAAGTCCCAAAACTCCAAATTGTCACTTGGAATCTGATTGACTGTCAGGAAGAACTGTAATCTATATCAGTCACTCGCACCACTTACCTCCACGTTGATGTCTCTGTCGGCGATGGCGAAAGTCCGTCCAAGCACCACACTCGTCATGCGGTCCAAACAGTAACTAGACCAGAAAACGCGCCTTCGAATCTCAAGATCGCGTGGATTGTGAGTAGAGGTGCCTGACTGCTTTCGATGGAGACCTAGTTCTATGCAGAGCGTAACAGCGTATCGCACCTGAGACCATGCGCCGGCACCATAGGGACTTCTCGTCCCGTGAACTGCGAGCAGAAGGAGAAGCTGGACGGTGGCTAAGTTATGTTGTTCCAGAATATAATCCATCGGCTCGATGGCAGCCATGAGGTGTTTCTAACAGTGTCCATGTTAGCTCTGTGAATGCAAGTTTTCCATGGAGAAGCCCCTCACCTGAGGGTCCACGTCGCAGGGCTTCTTCATCAACTGCAGGAATTTTGCCGAAATGGCGTACACCAGGTGCATAATGCTTCGATTCTGGATCGTAAGCGCCCCTTGTTCATACTGCTTTTCTAACAGCTTTGTATACAGCTTACGATCCAGGATAGGCCATCGCGTATGAAGCCGATCAAAGAAGACATCGAAGAGCATCCTCGCCTGCTCGGGGAACGGGAACTCAGACTGGGGCTCCTCCGGGCTGGAGGATACCGAAGGATTCCCTCGCGAGTGCATCGGAGATGACGGTACAGTTTGATTTGTTGCCATAGAATCAACTCCAGCTTTATGACCCGAGCTGTGAAAGATGGAAGACTGAATCATCCGCGCAATCGTGGCGCCGGAGCTCGACCCTAGGTAAAAGGGCTCTGGGGCGGTGTCTATTGTGCCAGATGCGCATAACGACAGGTAGGCAACGCCATCAACTAATGATGATGGCTCATCGTCCGAAGGTGAGTCTCTTGAGTCTCTCTGCGAACCTCTCGTCTTGGGTTCCGGAGGTGTTGCTGCGAAAGATGTCACCGCGAAGTGGTCTTCGGCAAAATCTGGCAAACGTGCTTCGAGGAATGCGATTCTTTCCTCTAGTGCGCTGATATATCTGGACATGCTGTAAGATTCAAATTGAAGAGCGCGAAGTGAAAAACTTACAGTGATTTGCCTCCAGGATAGTGTGGTCTCAGTGCTCGCTCGTAGATGCACGCCGAATTAGACTTCTCGCAAGTCCTGCAACTTGGATGTGCGCCGTCACACTACCACTTTCACTCGTATCAGCAACTGAACATGGATGGTCTAGATTTCGAGTTTGACAACTTGCACGTTGCTTTCTTCTCTTGCATCGCTTGCAAGCCAAGGCGACCCTCGACTTCCGTGTCTGCGGCAACGTGGCCGGTGGAGCGGTGCGGGGGCTCACGGGGCCCTCTGCGTTGAAGATTGCTGACGCGCTGTCAACCAGGTCGACGGGGGATGTCTCATCGCGCATGTTTCCAGCCCGAACGTGGGCAGTCATTCCGAGTATTCTCCTGACTCGGCGTGTATGTATGGGCGAGGACTGCCGTGAGAACGAAAAGTAGGAAGGCTTTGAGCCGATTTAGAATGGATCGGGACAACACCTGCAAGGATCCTCCGCAACGTCAACCGGGAGTGTTATTGGATGCACCCATACAGACATAGGTACGAGACATATACATCGTTGGGAACATCGGAGGATTTTTGCGAGGATGGTAAGCGTCATGATCTGGTTGTTCTTCAACTCAAACTCATATCTACCCACGTGCTACCCTATACTCGTACGCATCTCCTTATCGCTCAGAAACGCATTCGTGACTCTCGGTATCGTTGGCTCGTCCACGGAAATAAGCACAAGGCAGCTGGGAATCTCAACTCTAGCACCATACCCTCAATTTGACCTCAAGCGATACGTCAATGTCGGTAGTTCTCTACCGATGATCACGTCTTTGCCGGATTGGGATACCTATTCGGACGTCCACCGCAGATAAGACCAACGGCCGGCCACCGCCTTATCTTGGTGGATCACCCCCGAGACCAGGTCCCCGGCCCATCCATCAACATGCCAAGTACGGCTCTCCTCATATGCCATATCAATGTCTTATCGTCCCCTAGTGCAAGCTTACCGTGGACTCGCGTGGCGACGAGATGTTTGTCGGGTGGAAAGTCGCCGACGAATGGGGACCGCAATCAGGCGTGTCGGGGTTGCAACAGAGCTGAGGCGCGGACACGGGGTCTCTAATATGAACGAAACCACTGTGGCCATGTGGAAAGAAAACATCCAATTGTTGGTTTCCATCGAACTCATAGTTTCGATGTTTGGTGAGGTTCGGACATTGTCATCATACCAACAAAGACTCGAGCAACCATGGTGCGCGTCCGTATGCCAACGAAAAGCGAAATGACCGCGCCCTTTCAGTCGAAAGACGCCTTCAGGGAATGGATCAAGGCTCCTGAAGCCCATGAAGGACGAACCCAAGTCGGAGACTCTACATGGTCGAACAAGGACCTCGAACCGACACCACCAGAACAAAGGACATGGACCTGGTATAACTTGCCATTGTACTGGTTCTCAAACATGTTTGGAACCACCGGGTGGAACGTCGCCTCTTCGCTCATCGCCGTGGGTTTGGTCAGTTGACCTAGTGAAGTTTCTTCAAGCCGATGCGCTGACGTCATTAGACATGGCAACAAGCCTTCGTATCTTGCGTACTTGGCTCACTCATCTCTGCCATCGTCGTTACTGGTATGGCGATACCTGGCGTGATGTACCATCTTGGATAGTGCGTTGAAGCCCTTCAACATTTTTTGGCATCTGCTGACCTTTATTCAAGTCCCGTTCTTGCGCGGTCGGTGATGGGCATGTACGGCTCATACTTCTTCATCTTCATCCGCGCAATCGTTTGCATCATTTGGTATGGAATTCAGACTTACTACGGCGCGAACCTGTTGTCCGTCTGCTTCCGCTGTATTTTTGGGGACAGCTGGGACAACTGGCCCAATATGCTTCCTGCCGGTGCCGATGTCACGTCGAAGCAGCTCTTGGCATTCTTTCTACTTTGGCTGGTTGAGTTCCCATTCGTGAGTTGTTTGTTGCCCTTTGATGAGACTTGTCTCTAACAACAATCGCAGACTTGGGTACACCCGACTCATATTCATTACATCTATACTGTGAAAGGCTTCATCATGCCATTCGCCTGCTTCGGACTCTTCGGCTGGTGTATGGCTTACGGAACCGGCATCTCAAACATTGGCGCCGCATCTGTTGCTGGCGCATCAGCAGCCGCAAAGACACCGGTCGGATGGGCTATAATGAGCGGTGTCAACGTCATCATGGGGTCCCTTTCGCCGATGCTTGTGAACCAACCCGATCTCGCGCGTTACTGCAAAGAGCCTCGCGATGCCGGCTGGCTGCAAGGGGGCTGTGTCTTTTTCGCCAAGATTCTTGTCTTCTTCCTCGGCTTAGCGTCAACGACATCGTTGCAAGGCGCCTGGGGCACGGCTTACTGGAACCTGTGGGATCTTCTTGATGCTATTCTTGACCACTATTGGAATCCTACGGCCCGCGCTGGCGTCTTCTTTGTGTCGTTCAGCTTCATTCTTAGTGTGCTGGCGACGAACTTTGGCGCAAACTCACTTCCTTTTGGCGCTGACATGACCGGGTTATTTCCCAAATACTTGACGATTCGTCGAGGCCAGATCATCTGTGCCATTCTCGGTATCGTCGTCTTGCCGTGGAAGCTTATTGCTAACGCATCTGCTTTCATCTCATTCCTGGGCAGTTACAACATCTTCATGGGCCCTCTCTGCGCCGTAAGTAATAAGCCCACCAGCAAGTTCTGAAAAGAGTAGCTGACTTTCATCAGATCATCATTTTCGACTACATTTTGGTTCGAAAAGGCAACATCCATGTGCCATCACTGTACAATGGCTCCAAAGGAGGCCTCTACTGGTTCAAGTCCGGAGTCAACTGGGTCGGGGTCTTTGCCTGGATTGGCGGCACGGCAATGGGCCTGCCCGGCCTCGTCGGGCAGTACCAACCTCAAATAGTCAGCCAGCCGGCCAAGTACATGTACATGATGGGCTGGGTCTTGACGTTCTTTACATCAGCCATCCTTTATATAGTGCAGGTGCAGTTCTTCAAGGCCAAGGTGTACCCACCAGGCTTTGAGAATGCCCCGATGGAATACGAATGGCTGGCGAAAGAGGGCCGAGATGGGTTCTTTGAGGGCGAAAGGGAGGGTGAGATTTATGCACCTTCGTCTCCGCGGATTGACGAGGCCGAGGAGTTACAATTGGGAGGGAAGGTTCAGAAGTTGGAGGCTTAGCTGTGTTTTCTAGTAACATCAAAGCTACTGGGCAATAACTTGCGAGAAGATAATGCACCATTATTGAGTTCTAACCCCTTTATTAAGACTCCACGCACTATTCAAACATGTGCTTGGGGGAATCCGAGGAGTGGCCATCTTAGTGATAGCGGAAGTAGCAATGACAGTTGCAGCGATGCCAGTGTTAAAGTTACTATGGTGTGCTTAGCGGCAGAAAATTGTGTCGACCACTTGGTGTCCTCCAGACTCGATGTTGCCTTGCTGTGGATGGGGAAGCCATCCACAATGACCAGCGGAGGCAATCCGTTCCATAATTCGGCGGGTCGCCCTCGGCTTATCATGAGCTCATTGCACGGGTACACACAGGGTGGGCCTGGAGAGGGGTGTCTTGGTGCAGTTCTGAATGTTGTGACCAGACTTTTAACCCGGCATTATACAGAGAAGTTGAGTAAGAACGCCTCATTCGGTGGAATGGCCCCGAATCAGACGTGTCGCAATCGCTGCTGCTGGAGGCGTAGGCGGAAGTATTGCAAGGGAAACAAACGCGGCGGCGGATCTGAAGCCGACGATAACGGCCTGCGGGGTTGGGGTAACAAGGATGGCCCCTCTCATGGCCGTTGGAGTCTCCGGAAATCATCTATGAAATAGCCGGAATGCCTCCAGATTACTCCAACTCTCGAGAACGCCACAACTTTATTTCTCATCTCCTTTTTGCAGACTTCAGAAAACTCGAGAGTAGCCTTTTGAATTTCAGAGAAGCTGCCTCACCGGAACTGCCGACGAGACTCTGAGAGTGCCTATTGATACAGACCGCTGTGCTCTGACTCTGTTAGTCGCCACCTTGCCAGATACCCCGCCTTCTTGTTCTAAGTAGATCGCACCTTGCCTTGGCACACGCGTTTGTGCCGTTGTCAACTTAGACCTAAGTATTCAAACCTTGATCGAGCCGCAGAGGACTCGACATAATCTTCCGCAATGGCAGTTGAGCCGTACAGACTTACGGCGACCCAGGCGTCAGCCAAGATTCGAGCTGGGGAGTTGACTGTGGAGCAGTATGTGCGCTCGCTTTTGTCTCACATCGAGGAGCGAGACTCTGTCGTCAAGGCTTGGGAATATCTGAATCCCGATCAGGTCATTGCACAAGCGAAGGAGATGGACGCGATACCGCCAGAGAAACGAGGACCTCTACACGGCGTTGCGATCGCGGTCAAGGACGTTATCTACACCAAGGGTTGGTGAACATTGCGCGGGGTTTTCCATCGTAGCACTAACAGAAACTCAGATATGCCAACGCAGCACGGTTCTCCAATCTACGCCAGAGATGCGCCTAAAGTTGATGCAGGGTCCATTATCGTTCTTCGTCAAGCCGGTGCACTACTTCTCGGTAGGTCCAAACTGATAATTCGACACTCGGCAAGGTGAATCTGACCCTCGCAGGCAAGACAACGACGACTGAATTCGCGGCCACTGTTCAAGGCCCCAAAACGGTGAACCCGCATGGCACGAACCGGACGCCCGGTGGCTCTTCCTCTGGCTCAGGCGCAGCGATCGCCGACTTCCAAGCGCCAATCGGCTTGGGCACCCAAACTGGTGGAAGCACCATCCGTCCAGGATCTTTCAACGGCATCTACGCCCTGAAGCCGACATGGAACTCTATCACCCGTGAGGGCCAGAAGATCTACTCCTTGATTCTGGATACCCTGGGTTTCTTCGCCCGTAGTGTCGAAGATCTGCAATTAATGGCCGATGTCTTTGACCTCCAGGACGACGAGCCTCCCAAGGACACCTTCACAGTCAAAGGCGCCAAGTTCGCTCTCTTGAAGACAATGGTGTGGCCTCAAGCCGGGCCCGGCACACAGTCTGCGATGACGAAAGCAGCGGAACTTCTCAAGGCTCACGGAGCTGAGGTCGAGGAGATTGAGTTTGACCCCGAGCTCCAGGAACTACCTCAGTGGCATGCTACGGTGTTGCACAGCGACGGCAGATCCGCTTTTCTACCTGACTACCGCGCTGCTAAGGACCAACTGCACGAGTTCCTGATTTCGCATGTTGACAACACGAATAAGATTAGCAGAGCGGAGCAGCTGGAAGCATTCGACAACATCGCCATTGCGAGGCCAAAGGTTGATAAGATGCTAGGCAAGTATGATGCCGTGTTGGTGCCTAGTGTTGTTGACGAAGCGCCTGAAGGGACTTCGAGCACTGGAAGTGCTGCTTTCAACGCCCCCTGGACGGTAAGTCTCTCGCGGAGTCTGTATGCCGAACAGTAATTGCTAACAACGGCGGTAGGCGCTGCATGTTCCCGTCGTCAACATTCCAGGCTTCAAGGGTCCGAACGGGATGCCCGTTGGTGTTTCTCTAGTAGCGCCGAGATACCATGACCGTCATCTCTTGGTGGTCTCCAAGGTGGTCGGTGAAATTTTCGAGGCAGAGGGAGGCTGGAAATCTGCGTTGTAAATGATGAGCCATAGGGTAGCTGTGAGGCTTTAGAGGGATTCTCACTCATTTTCATGTGCTAGCTGTTGTGTCGGAAGCTTGAAGACTACGATTTGTATCGATTTAGACCCGAATTCCACTGCGCAAGGTCTATAGAGACGTTATCAACATTCTGATACATATTGCTTAATTCTGAAAGCCTGATGAATCCGCGCAGTAACCCTTCGAGGCCGTGAGGTCTCAGTTCGTAATTTTGACCTCATTATCAGTTATTATCCCATCAACTGCTAGACGGCATCACTATATCAGTCTCCAGTCTGTCTTTAAATTTGATCTATTTCGAGATTATTCATAGGTGGATATAAAGGAACTAGAGCAAAACTAGAGAAGACTTGAGACGGACATGGTGACGCTATCTAGCAGTTTTTAGGATAGCCGTATGATGATTAGAGAATCAAATCAACCGTGGCGTTGAAAGGAAGAAGTAACCAGGCGGCAATTTTTTATTGTGCTCTTGCTTGGGCCTAGCCACAATCCCAACGCCACACTTCCAATATCGAAGGATGCACTGCAACAATGCTGCCTGGTTGGGCAATCTTACATCTACAAGTCCTCACTTTTGTCTTTCCAACCTTCAGATCACAAACTATCCTGGTTATTCCCAAGTAGCATAAAGTCCAATAGAAGCAAGGCTACTGGCTACAATGTCAAAACCCAATAATATCGCCGAAAGCTTCTCAAACCTGGCTCTAGACCCCCTAGCACCCCCTCTTCCCCTCCTCACCAAGACCAAAACGTTCTCTCTCGGCAACCTCTTCACCAGCAAGACCCCTTCACTTCTCCAGACTACACCCATATCCTACTATCCCCTCAAAGAGAACGAAATCCGCCTCGTGAACCTCCACGCAGGACCCCCCTCAGCCCCAATAACCCTCACAACCGAGTCCACCCCCCTCTCATCCGCAGAATATACAGCACTCTCCTATGTCTGGGGCGATCCCTCTGACACCATTTCCGTCCATGTCGACAATCACCTCTTCCACGCCACAAAAAACCTTCACTCCGCGCTCCAGCACATCCGCCTCTTCCTGAAGCCACCACAGCTTGCCCCACTATGGATCGACGCAATCTCGATAAACCAGGCAGATATAGCAGAGCGAAGCCACCAGGTCTCGCACATGCGGGAGATTTACGATTCAGCAGAGCTAGTCTTGACCTGGCTCGGATCAGACCTCGGACCGGGGGTAACATACCTCCGCGAACTCGGCGAGCACGCCCTCACCGTCTCTCGAAAGAGCAAAGAGCCCCCGAAGCTTCTACCCAGCCACGTGAAAGACCGATATACTACCATTCGGGAAACCGTCAGAGTCTTTCAATCTACCTATTGGAACCGCGTCTGGACGGTACAGGAGTACACTGCCCCAACAGACCTCGGGGTCTTCCTCTCCGGTACGGCGTGGTTAGATCGCACTGCCTTTTTACCCGCCACGATACTCTATACACATGCACTTTACTGGCTCCGAGATGGCCTGCGGAAGCGGGGGGCAGATGCGTCGTTTGTGGACGCGACGCTCTCGCGGGTGAAAAAGGTTGCGCATGATCTCAAGATGAGCTATGCGCGGATGGCAGCTTCCAACGTAATCGATAGAGCCCCGGATAGGATGAAGGCTTCTTCTAAAGCTGAGCAGGTCCATCAGATTGAATCAGAGAATGGGAGGAATTCTGTAGTTCACCAGTTCAATCTCATCAGCCTCCTCTTACGATTCCGCGATCTCCAAGCAACAGACCCCCGAGACCGCATCTATGCGCCCATGAACCTCCTCCGTCATAGTTCCAGAGAGGAACCCATCATCCCTGTCGACTATTCTCTCAACATACAGCAACTGTACACATCCGTTGCCAGGCGTCTAGTGGAAGACGACGACTACTGGCCTCTAAGCATCCTCGAAATCTGTCGCTTCGGGTCATCGGACTTACCATCATGGGTGCCTGACTGGCAAGTCCTTCCGAGAAAGGTACTTTCGAGAAGTGTCACCTCTGGAGAGCAAGTTCTCTGTGCGAGTAAAGGATACTCCACGGATGCGAAGCCGTGGAGGATACTAGACGAGGCTCGGTTGCAGATTACGACTGTACAGATTGATGACGTGGCGGAGGCCTGGGAGGCATTTGATGCTATGAGTGTGCCTCGAACAAAGTCCTACCCAGCGTATAATCTGATGAACCCTGGTGAGAAGTATGTGATTGGAGGGCAGACGATGTTGGAAGCTTTCCATGAACTGGCAGGGATCGAGCCAAGATCGGGATATGGTGACGAGGTGGAAATTTACCGCCAAGAGGACTGGCATCGCAATCAAGGCATGATGAGTCGCTTCAATCGCCGGAGACTGATCCGCACTGAAAACGGACTCGTCGGCTTGGCTCCGGCTGAAGCTATCAAAGGTGACAAGGTCTGGTTGGTTCATGGCGCGAACATGTTCTATATCTTCAGGCCTGTTGCGGACGAAAGAAGTCATGTGCTTATCGGTGAGATTTACCTCCAAGGTCTCATGAATGGGGAGGCACGGGAGTTTTTAGGCGGGACTGGAAAGCAAACTGTCATTACACTCGTTTAGGGTATAACATCTATCATGATAAGGACCGACCCGATATCTACAAACTGTTCCCATTTCCGCATTAGACGTGCCGCAGTAGCAAGAGTCTGCGCCACCATTCATTATCGAGTATTCTTCTCTTTCTATCCTTGGTGGCCAACATCTTAAGCCCACTTTCCAAGCACACTCATGATAATCATGCCAGCGATGAGACCGAAGAAAGCAAGGGTCGTGACGATGGGGCCAGTGGTTAGGAGCTCCGCGCCAGGAAGCATCCAGTCCTCGGCCCACATCTCCACAACACCAACCCAGACGAGAATACCAGCGGAGAGCGCGTCGAGGGTACCGATGGCGATGATGGTGTCGCGGTCGTTTCCATTGAACTGCGAGAGAACGCCAATTCCAATTGCCATTCCGATGGGCGTGACGAGGGCAAAGGGGGAAGCGAGGATAAGCTTCTTGACGAGGGAGAAGCTGGGCGTTTTTAGAGAGTTCAGACTACCCTCAGCGGAAGCGGTTTGCTCAACTTCGGCGGGCGCACTCGGGGTGGGGCGCTCTGTCATTTCAGCTGAAGTAGGCTGGCCAAGCTGGGCGATTCGAGTTCCAAGAGCGATGCCCTCGAACATTTGGTGGAAGAGGATGACAACAAAGAGGGTGATGAAGAAGGTGTCACCAGCCACGACAAGGGTGATACCAATGACTGTTCAATCCTTTGTTAGTGCGCTACAGTGAGGGGATGCTCGGAAAGGGCAACGTACGGATGGAGTGAAAGATGATGCCGCATTCAAGAACCAAGACAGTGACTGTCTCGGGAGAGAAACGGGTCATCGCACCAGGATTAGCGGCCATCTTTGCCATGACCATGCGCTTTCCAATGTACTCAACCAAGAAAGACAGGAAGATACCCGCCATGACAATGGCAGAGGTGGTACCTTCGTAGCCAAGACTGCCTAGGCACTCATTACCAAACATGAGTTGGGCATGGGTATACAGATGGATGAAGGCGGTGGAGATGATGATTCCCGTGCCGAATTGTTTGAGGATGAGGAATATTGTGTGCGTCTTGGCGGGCATCCAGTTGATCATGAAGATGGGGAAGTAGACTCCGAAAGCACTAGTGACAAGAATAACGAAAAGAAGACCGACACGCAGAGGAATGTTATAGTCGCGGGTAACCTTTTCGCAGCTTCTAGTGCCACTGCTCTCACTCTCGCCTGCGCCAACGCAATGCTCGACACCGGCGTGGAAGTGACAGTTCTCTCCCTGGGGTTCTTCTCCGCTGGTATCGTCATGGTCGGACGACTCGGCCCCCTCGGCAACAATTTCGATGTCATCTCCATTAGGAGCGAGACAGTAAGTGTCAGTGCCGTGGGCGTGGCAGCCAGTGAAGGCTGTCGGTATCGCTGAGGCGGCAGTGTTGGTAGGCGTCGTCATGACCTGATATTCTGTAGTACCCCACATACAGAAGCTGGGATCTCTGTTAGTGAGGATTATTGCCGAGCAGATGAAAACACTTACACCGTGACTCCGTGCAGATGGCAGTCTGATACGGCCGTTGGTGCGCCAGTGACGGCAGTAGCAGCAGTCGTCGAAACAGCGGTGGCTGCCGGCGCATTGGCGGCCACGACTTCAACCTCGCCATCAGGATAGAAACAGTACCTGATATCAATAGTGTTAGACTGAGTGAACAGTACAAAAGCGATTCAGCTTACAGGTCAGTGGCATGCTTGTGGCATCCAGTGTATGAACTGGGAAGCGAACCAGTCGGGGTAGATACGACTGTGAACTCTGTCGTTCCAGCTTTGCAGATTCTGAAGTCAATGATGTATGAGCAGCTATTCGATGATGAAAGACATTGATGAAGCTACTGAGGGCTCTTACTGAGTAGACGATGCGACGGAACACTGTGAGATGGCCGTGGGATCAGACCCGGCAGAGGCAGTGGTGCTAGCAGCCGTCTGTCGTGCAACAAGGGAGGCTGATGTAGTGCTCAGAAGAGCCGCAACGGCGGCAGCGGGAGTGAATCTAACCATGACGTCTGAGTCTGGACGTCGAGAACACTGCCAGTGAATAGCGGAAAGCGAACTTAGGCCTTATCTACGCTCAGATGGGCGGATAGGGTTGACTGTTTTTGGGCGAATTCCAAGACAGGATGGTGCTGCAGGAAGCGTCGAGCTGCGCTTATCGACAGGGTGGTTCTCAGCTGGGTGTTTTATGGAAGAGATTCTGCAGTCGAGGTGACCAGGCTGAGGTATGAACCGTTGGGAGAGGTTACTAGAGTGAGCACCTTGAGAGAATGTGTCCTGGTGAGGAAGTCAAATCGCCGAGCCGGTAGTCTGGCCGATAAAATTCCGCAGGGTGATGAGATATCGGATTGAAGCGTGGAGGAGAAACGAGGAAGCCTCTTCAGCGGAAGAATTTCTCGGAAGGGGGAAAGATGTTAGGGAGGCGGGAGGAACAGAGGCGAATCATCAGGCGTGAGGGGGGTGCAAGTTGCGAGGAAAACATGCGCAGGTTCGATGGAGGAGGCAAAATTGATGAAGACCAGATGCGGCGGATTGGATCCCTGCCAGTTGGTCGTGTCGAATATGCGCGGATATGCCATCCATTGTTCTACTTTTTTCGGGTTCCCCTCTTCGGCGGATTGTTCACTTCCCTCTAACGCAACAAAGCTATACCTTCCGAGCTGTCGTTACCGGGTTCTTCTGGGTGTCTCCACGACCCAAGCTTGTCTTTCATTGTCTTGGCCCTCGGTCGCGGCGGCTGACCTTGTGCTCGTCGGATGACTTTGGGAACTCTTCTTCCCCGAGGGCATCATTGCTGGACGGAGGACTGCGCGCCAATGACGACCGAGGCAATTTAGGGCATTTTCTCAGCCCACTTCCACAGGACTGTCCATTTTCAGACGGGCGATCAGATTGATATGGCGTCCGCAGCCCGAGGGAGCCATGGAAACGTGGGCATCACAGGCCCCTGTCGTTAAAAGTGAGTGGACCGATGGTGTTTGTCGGGAGAAAAGCGGGAAACCAAAAGGGACATAAAAAAAAAGCATAAGACGACGCGGTCTGTTTGCCAAGGCTGAGAGACCCATCGCCAAGGCTGAGCACCCGGATGGCCAGCCATGGGCAAGAAGGGAAGGCAGCAGCTGGCGAGATGGGAAGCGACGCTGATGGAGAAGCCAAGACAGGAAGTCACGATGTCCAGTGGTTGTTTCCTGCTAAGGCTGCTATTGTCTCTGAGGACCCGCCCTGATTGGGCACGGGCAGAGCAGCTGGGGTGGCACGGTGGCTCAACGTCGGATCCACTTGCCTCTTTTTGACCGGTACGTACCGCCCACATGCCCTCCACATGCACGTCAAAATAAGAACCTTGATGGCCTTTCACAACGTCCCTCCTTTGCCTCACACTCACCAGACTCACTCACTCACTCACTCTCTCACTCGACTTACCTCACTCATCCACGCAAAGGCTCCTACCTGACTGTTCAGCTTCCCCTCCAACCTTGATGGTTATAAGTGGCGACGCCTGCATGCCAAGGCTTCTATAAAGTAGACCGGTCGACCAACCCCTATCGAGATGAGGCCTTTTGGAGGTTTTCTGCTCTAGCTCAGGATTCTCAGAACTCCTCGACTTCAGCTCCTCAAAACTGACTGCTAGAAACCAACGCCAAGATTGCCTTACTGCAGGCCTGAAGGATCGTATTCGATTCTTCGCTGGGTAGAAGAGTCCCTGTCGGCAGGCACTTTTGAGCCCTTCCTCGGCCGATCTCACGTGTTGGCAGCGTGAGAATATCTGCATGACACATGGTGCTCCTTCCAGTGAGAGTCGATTGACGCTGGGTGAGACTCTTGTGGCTACCAATACCGCCCTAGTGAAATCAGGCCCCGAGGTCGCAATCATGGCTGCGTGAGAAGGCCGTTGCCATTTCGGGATGTAGTCCGCTACACCATCAGTGAAGTCACCTACCGGAACATTGAACTCATACATCGTTGCATGGAGCCACGGCTGAAGATCAACGGCGACGTAAGTAACTGGAAGCAGCTAGCAGTATGCCGCTGGTTCGCGCATGGTTGCTGAGTTTTGACTTCCCGCTGTCTAGCCTCAAACCAGCCTGTCGGGTCTGTCTTTGAGTCCGTGTCTGATCTTCCTTGATGCAGCAAGTGCAATGAAGGGTCAGCATCAGAGCAAGTGTATAAGCAATATGATTCAAGCTGGTCAAACATCATTCTGACAAGGGGGCACAAAAACGTAAAGCCTAATTCGGTGAATTCTGCTTCTAATGCTACAATTAATCCGCCTCCATTCTCGAGGTGGATGAAAGGAGGCAAAGCGCCTCGGTTTAGCAGGTTTATCGTCATTCTTGACTATTGATCTGCTAAATCAAGAAATACCACATGTTTCCTTTCATGAATCCCAATTCGTGTATCCGTAAAATGCCTCGAGTCAAGGCCCATTATTCCGTCGTTGTATCATCTTTGTTTTACAGGGCCATGAGGGCGGCAGCAATGGCAGCAGCGCCGAAGCCAGCACGAGCAGCTCCGGCGGGAACGGCAGTAGAGCTGGGAGTAGCGCTGCCAGCCGCAGTAGTACCAGCGGCTCCAGTGGTAGCCGCAGCGGTGGTGGTGACGGCAGCGGATCCCGTGCCAGAGGCAGAAGCCGTGCCGGAGACGGCGGTGGCAGCGGCGTCGCAATGCCTATCTGGTGTTTAGATCATTTGAAGCGATGTGAAATGGACTGTGTTTGTTACTCACCAGTGGTCACCGTGAGGCTCGCAGCCGACAGACTCAGTGGGGGAGGGAGCAAGGCTGCCGGTGCCGGAAGAGTGGTCGTCATCATCGTGGTCGTGGTCCTCGGTGGCGGTTGTGGTCGCAGCGGCAACGCTGGTGACGAGAGTGGTTCCGCTGGCTGCTGCGGCAGTGGTGGCGCGAGCGCCCTCGCAGTGCCTAAAGTTGATTGTCAGAATGATCCAATGATTCTCAAAGTGGCTCCATCTTTCACGTCTCGGTCACAGAAGGCAAGCGGGTTTGGGCATATTCGAAGAGATCCAAGCTTACCAGTGGTCACCGTGAGGCTCACATCCCACGCTCTCCGTGGGTGAAGGAGCCAGGCTCTCGCTTTGGGCCAGGGTGAAGACGGCAAAGCCGAGCATGGACATGATCTGAGAGGCCTTCATGTTGATGGATCTCGGGTGACGTTCTGGAGAATCGCGGTGTGGCTTTGGGGGAACGAGGACGAAGATTTGGAGATAAGCAACGATTATATGCGGGCAGAGGCGTGAAGATGAAAGATTTATAAAGATGGTGTTGTATTCGAGGGAATAAGCTATAACTATCAACCGCCAAGACGTACTGCCCGAACCCCAGTTCCGGAAAGAGCATCAAGGTATCTTTTAGCAGCTCTTGGCAAGAGAGAATGCAATTACGAAAATTGATTGATCCTCCCAAGATGTTGGTCGGTTGTTCCGGTGTTTGCAACACAATTCAGCCGGGCCAATTCGCCAAGACACTACGCAAGTCAGGTTATTCGGGAGACTATCACAACGTGCACCCCCCCCCCCCCCCCTTCCCTTTTAACTGGGCATATGCTAAACGTCTCTTGTTCTGTTGACCGTCAATTGGTCTACCAAGGGTGACCTCGAAGTCCTAGATGGCCCATTCAAAGGAGTGACTGGGCCCTGTTAGGAGCACTGAGCTCGTAATGCCGCACCCATGTCCGGTCCGCGTTTTGCCAGGCGCGAAGAGGCGGGCCGGGCCATCAAGGTCCTCACATAAAAACTTGGCGCATCACCATCGTATTGAAGATCTTTCCGGAAGCCACACCAAATGAATATCCCTGAAAGTGGACTGTTTCCTTTTGAATTCTGTTATTTAGTTGCCTCTGACTGGCTATTCAGCAAAGGAGCTTTTTCCGTTTTCGATCTTTGATGGTTGGGTTCTGATCCCATATATCATGCTAATAGGCCAAGGCTCCTCCCCTTGTCCCGTATCCCTGGGTCCTTTGCATCATTGCCAAGAATCCGAAAGAGCCTCCTTCGAACGGCCATATGGCATTCTCCCGACAACGACCGAGACAGGGCGGACTGCCATCGACAATACCAGACTACCAGAGAATTTGCCGTGAGAAAGGCTCCATTCAGCTCACCGTGGTCTCAACGCAACTCCAACAATCAGCTCAGTCAACTTTGAGGAATTCGACCTCGGCCAACTCAACTTTGAAACCAGAATTAAGTTGATTACGTTGAGTGCAGCGCTAGTTGTCGACCTCGTGCTAGGCGCTTCCTGTCTTTCCTGACAACGACTAGCCAAGTAGTAAGGATCGTGCAGATTCCAACCACAAGCACTGACAGGTTGACCGCATACGAGATCCGATATCGAGAGCCAAACACCGTACTGAAGACATGGGGACCGACAATACCACTGTGCAAAAGGATCAGCGGAAGGCCGGATGATGAGGAAATTAGTTGGACCTACCCGAACTGAGCGCATGCATTTGTCAGGCCAATCCCGATACCAGATGCCACAGTTCCTTCAAGTGCCCTGATGCGCTCCGGCCAAATTACCGGGTATGCACAACCGGCACAGGCTACAGACACGATCAGGCAGATGTAGCGCACCACTGGGTTTTCGACGAACAGGAGAATGATGTAGCATACGATGATTGTTGATTCAACTGTGCCCGTTAGCTCTGTGCTCAGCCTGAAATGTCTCCCGGACACCTTACTTCCTACGGCTGTTACCCATGGCCTGATCCACTTCCTTTGAAGCATAAAACCCAACGTATTTAAGAGCAAGAAAGCCGACACATACGGAGGCTATGTGTTATCAGTGAAAGGTCCTCGAGACATCCCAGCTCTGACCTGTGCTTACAATGTTCATCAACTGGGAGTATGCCGTGGTAGTGAAACCCAGCTGGTAGATAACAGTCGGCAAGGCAAACCCAACTCCAAAGCCTCCGATACCATGGCAGATCCAGTACAAACTGAAAGTGTAGAGCGTCGGATCCCGGGCCATGAATTTGAGAGACTTGAAGTCCCAATGCGCTTCTCCCTTTGGCACAGACTTGGCTAGTCTCTGCTTCATGTATAGCCGCTCCTCTTTGTTCAACATCTTGGCTGATTCTGGATAGTCAGGCAGCCAAAAGGCGAAGAATGCCAGGAAGATAGCAGGCAGTCCTTCGAGAATGAATAGCCACCGCCACCCGGACACGCCGCCAAGCTGATCCATGTACGAGATGGCGTATGCTAGCAACCCAGACAACGCACTAGAGACCTGGCCCACGGAGTAGAAGAAGGCAATACGCTGTGGCATCTCTTCCGGTTTATACCAGAACGCGTAGTGATACAACACTGACGGGAAGAAGCCAGCCTCAGCCATGCCGATCGCGAAGCGAACACACATCATGCCCGAAAAGTTTGTCGCCGCGGCGGAGCAGCACGCAGACACACCCCACGCCATAATCAGGATGAACATCCATCTTGAGGGCCTGAACAGCTTCAGCAGAATCGTGTTGGTCGGCTCAAAGATGAGGTAGCTGTATGAGAAGATGGAAAGCGTCCAGGCCCACTGTGATGGGCTGAGGCCGAGCTGCTTCTTGATGCCGGTGCCGGCTTCGAGGTTGATGATGGCGGCGTTGGAGTAGTTCGCGCTGTCGATGACTCGAAAGACGTAGACGAGGGAGTAGAAGCCCACGAGCCAGAGGTCAATCTTCCTTAGGAGCTTCTTCTCGAACTCGGGACGGTCACTTCTTGGGTGGGTTTCGATATCGGACACATCTCTGCTCTCTGTCTGTGCCGTCTTTTCAGGATAAGTCTGTACGTGTTCGGCAACGTAGGCCAATGCGTTGACCGGCTCTCTTGGTGTCACCATTTTAGACGTCGTCTCGAGGCACCGAAAGCTGATGCAAGGAAACAACCAACAATAATCAAAAAGAGGCTGACATCTCTCCTGTAAATTAATAGAAGTGCTTTTTTGCTTAATTCCCAATCTTAGTCCTGAGAATTATACACCACCAAACCACCAACGCCCGATGCCGGACAATTACCATCATGTTTTCAACCTTGCACTGGTCACGACATGATAACGATGATGGCGATTTTTATGTTCCCCCAATCGCCTTTCAAACAGACAGGCCTGGCATCCTTCAAATCTGGCCCTTGATGTTGACCCCGCCAACAACATTCCTCGGACTATGCCCGACTTCCGGGTAACATTACCCCGTCTTGCTTTGCAGCATTCGAGCACGTCTTGATTGAAGTCGTGTGGGGGATGATAGTCTGATGTCGTAGCGGCGAGTGTCTGGTACTATCGTTGGCCGGTGATAGTGAGCACGTTCTTGTGGTTCCCAAGCACGCAATGGCCGATCGTGCTGCCGACCCCGCGTGGGCATCAGCAAGCGATTGAGCTACAAGCTTGAGACGTTGAGATGGAGTCATATTATAAGACGCTGGGAACAATTGAAACGGGTCCAACAATCGTCCTGTTCAATATTCTTCTCAATCTCGTTTCTTTGACAAAAGCAAACCACCATGGCTCCATCCGCAGTCTCGCCGCCGCCTTTTGACGACAACAAGCTGCTTGTCAAGCCTTGGTCTCGACCACAGCCAACACAAGAAGATTTGGACTGGGCACCTTTAACCACAATTGATCTTTCGCGGTTCGACGAGCCAGGTGGCAAGCAGGAACTGGCGAAGCAACTCTACGATGCCATCTCACGAGTTGGGTTCTGGGTCGTGACGGGCACCGGCATCGATGATGGGCGAGTGCTACGCCAGTTTAGTATCGGAAACACCTTTTTCAGAGAGCCATTGGAGGAAAAGAGGACTTACCCTTGCAATTTTGCGGAAGGAGAGTACTTCGGATACAGGGAAAATGAGAGGTGGCTTGGAGACACAGGGGTGAAGGAGAACATCGAAATGGTAAGATCGTGTTGCAAGTCACAGTGACAGATACTGATAAAGGAGTAGCTCAACATCCACAAGGACATCCCAGCTTGGAAGAATGTCGGCCGTCATCGGGTCATTGAAGAGAACTGGGATGAGATTCGAGACTTCCACCGTGACGTTTGGGAAGTGGCGCGAAAGCTCTTTGTTCTCATCGCCATCATCTTGGAGCTCCCAGAAAATTATCTCGCTGATGCGCATGACTATGACCAAGTATCGGATGATCATTTACGGTACATGATCTACAATGTTCGGACTGAAGAGGACTGGGACAAGGCGCAAGCCTTTTCGACCGGCGGACATACAGACTTCGGCAGCTTAACTCTACTCTTTTCTCAGCATGTTGCGGGACTGCAAATCAGGACGCCAGAGGGAGACTGGAAGTATGTCAAGCCCGTCGAGGGCGGCATTACATGCAATGCTGCAGATACCTTGACTTTCCTCACAAACGGTATACATTGTTCTAGATCTTCCGACGTTTAGAGGTCGTCACTAACTATGAGAAGGATTCATCAAGTCAACTATTCATCGTGTAGTAAAGCCACCCAAGGATCAGATTGACATTCCCCGGCTGGGACTTCTGTACTTCAGCCGTCCGGGTGATCATGCGCCAATGAGGACGTTGCCATCTCCTCTTCTAGATCGGCTTAGTCTGATCAGAGATGAAGACAGGGACTTGAGCAGACCAGTTCCGTCTGGGACCGAGTACGTGCGGGCAAGAGTGAAAGACGTGCACCACAAGAAGGTGCTTGATAAACGCGAAGGAACATCGTTCCAGTACAAGGGGCTCGAAGTCAAGAATCACTATGAGTAAGGTGCAATTAGCTTTGCAAAACCAGGTCCTCACTGGAGTCAACACTTTTGTTCAACAACTCGATTTCTTCCCATACTCATGGCGACCTCTTTCTTTCGAAAGTGAACCAGGCGTTTCCAACAAGTAGCTTATCTTACTCCATGAAGTACCGATTAATGTTCGATCTTGAAACGTTGGAAACATGAACGGCTATCCCATCTCCGTCGCCACGTCCATCGGCACTACACCCGTCTCCAACCTTTCTCTAATCTTTCTCCATTTCGAGATTATTCACACCTAGGCGGATATAAGGGAAATAAGGCCGTATTATCAGATTATGTGCTATTCCCCCTATTAAAGTTGGTATCTATATACCGACGCTATCTAGCAGTTGATCGAATAGGGTGATAGAAATGAAATGAGGTCGCACACGGAGAGATTATTTATTAGACACGTGTTGCACTCAGCTGAAAGAATTCTACCAATCAAAACCTGTGGTCGGTATTACAGGCGTCCGCCACAACCAAGGGTCTTGCGGACCACCATGCGTCTAGTCGAGGCGAAAAGCAAAGTATTACAAAGAGGGGTACGAAGGCAGAGATATTTCAGAGAAGCCCACACCGTGCATAATACATGTACCGAGCCATCATCCTCAACGCTGCCGACCGCCATGTCGGATTTCGACAATGACTGCGCCTGGCCGCGCCGGCTACTGCACCTACCTACTATGACTTCGGTGCAATGGAAGCCTGGCAATTATTACGGAAAGGACCGCGAACCCAGATACATCGCTATCTCGTACACTTGGGGCAGATGGCGATTGAAGGGTGCGACGCATCCAGACGTGAAAGGACTGGCGGTCCATGGTGTTGCCTGGGAAATGCCACGAGTAGACCCAGACCATTTTACCATGGGCGAAATGGAGAATGTGTTGAGATCAGCTCTGAAGCTATCGATGGAGATCGAAGGTGCGCAGTGAACTTGTGCAGGTTGACGAAACAGCTCTGCATAATGCTGGCGCTGATGAAGAGTACATGTAGGTTTCGACAACCCTAAAGAGCCACTCTCCCCGATAAACTACATCTGGCTAGATGTTGCTTGCATCTACCAGACTCGTAACTCAGCGGAGATGGCCATGGAAGTTGGCCGCCAAGCGAAGATATTCAAGGGAGCCACGCAGACTTTTGCGTGGTTGACAAAGCTTTCCCGCCAGGATTACGTGACACAAGCGGAACGACACCTGGAGCAGGCCACGCCAACAAGAGCTGAGGCAAAGAACGGCCTCGATAAGGTCCGACGTCGCTTAGACATCAAAAGACGAGAGATCGAACAGCTCAGTCTAGATCCATGGTTCTCGTCTCTCTGGACGTTGCAAGAAGCATATCTCTGTCCCCAGGCCATATTCATTACCAGACAGGGAGAGCTTCTAAGCCAGTCCGACATCGATAACCCCGCCAAAGATCCGATGTTGCTGAGCTACTTCATCGACTACTGCGACCACGTGATGACCATAGTGACGTCGCATGAGAAGAAGCCACAAACCATCGAACCAAACGACAAATACCTGATACTACTGAAGAGTTCGATCGAACGCAGCGGCATGATCGGCCTCCGATCAACTCTCCCGATTACTCTTCTTGGGGCTGCCCGCCACAGGACGACAAGTCGCGAAAAGGACCGCGTCTATGGAATCATGCAGGTCTTCAACTTCCGGCTGGGAAAGGCGAGGCCGGGTTATGACCCCAACGGTGACCCCTCCCTCCAAGAGCTGGAGGACGAGCTTGGGCGAGAGCTACTTGCTCAAGAGCCTATCATGAGCCAGATGCATGTGTTTGAGAATCTTCCGCAAGTTGGGAAGGGTTGGCGAATCTCTCAAGATTCTCAACCTACAAGGCGCCTCCATCTTGTCAATCAAACCTATAGTGAGGGCAAGTCAGTCTTTGAGGGCATGTTGGTAAAGGCTCAGCTCTCGACTATTACTCTTAATGGCGTGAACTGGGGCCACTTCAGCGGCAAAACTTGCAAGTTCAGCAAGTTGGTTGAAATTTGGGACAGCGACAAAGGATGGGGAGGCGGAATCATCGACCTCGATGGCGCGGAACATTGGACTGCCGTTCATGGGCCTGACCTTGCCCGTAAAGAAGCCATTGCGTTCAGTCAACATCACCCACACGCAGTCGTCTTACTTTTAGGCCTCGCAGAAAAGCAAGCATCTACGAAAAGCTCGAGCATGCCAGTAGGTCTCTTACTCGTTCCCTTCAGTGGCCAGTCCGGGGTCTCGGAGAATTTAGATGTCTGGCAAAGAGCTGGCGTCTGTCAATGGTGGACAAGTTACGAGCCGAATAGCGGGTCTGAAGTGGGAGGAACTTTGGAAGGAGAATCGAGAGACTGGATTCTCAGTGCCGGGGCTTTTGGTTAATAATTTGGAAAATATTAAGAAGGCATTGCTTGTCAAATGACCAGTAAAGTTTGCTTTCCCTGGTTTGCTTGAGACTAAGATAGATTACTGGCTGATTGAAAATGGAAGCTTTGTCAATATGTGGCGTTGCAAGGTTATCTTACGTACGACAGTGATGTATTTACAACTTCCTCGTGTGGAAATGAATATGTTTATACAAGGCATATGTTTATACAAGGCATATGTTTATACAAGGCAGAAAGTCACCAATAACAGCGCGCTGGACATACAACAATTACTCGGCCTTCTGTACCGGAATGTTGAGAGTACTAAAGTTCCAAGTCTTACCACCATCGGGTGTGGACATGTCGCCGCCAGTAGCACCATGTTCCCAGCCTCCGGTGTGACCGAAGCTTTGATCAGCCTGGCTAAGCACAATGGAGACATCTTCCCAGCCTACCTCATTGTCAGTTGTCAATACCCTCGTTGAAGACTGGTTTAACGTACTGTGGGCGGGGTGCTCAGCGCAGCCGCCAGACGCGCATTCAATAGAAATGTAAAAGATGTTCCCTTTCTGTCCTTTGCCTACGCACAATTTATCAGCGTCTGATCAGATTTGACAAGCGATAATTTGCCGATGCCAATCAACTTACTGGTCGATACAGATGAGGCAAGCTTGTTGTCTATGTAGACATCTTGGTCCCAGAGGCTTGTCGCCGAGTTCAGCTTGTCTGCCATTATCTTTAGTCACAGTAATACCCAAATATGAGCTGAGTTATCTCACAGTGAGTCCTGACTGTGGATCCAGGAGAAGCAGTGACAGGGTCACCAACCGTGGGGTTTGAGCCTATAAAGTTGTAGTACCATGTCAGATCGCGTCTTTTGAGAGTTCAATCCAGATTGAAATCGGTCGAGTCACTTACCAACCAGAGTATACGCGAAGTTGCACCAACTCTTTCCTCCGTCGTTACAGTATGATCTTTGAGGTCAGTCAGGCATGTGCCATCAGGCGATAGGTGTTTGATTAGGTCCCTCTTACCCACTAGGAGAGTTTGACGTTACGCCTTGCAGGAAGGATGCCTCATTCTCCATCATGATGGCACTCCAAATGGCAACATCTCCCGAGACAGTGCTAGGAAGCTTGGGAAGAACGAGAGTTGCGCTAGCCTCTTGGATGTACGCTGCGCCATTGGTGAAGAGGGAAACGATATCAGAGTTGGCCTGTGTCAGACCAATGAGTGTCGCAAGGACGCCTCCGACGGCTGTGTTGACTCCCTTCATAATGGCCGGTTGAAGCTCAAATAAATATCAAGAAGGTTGCAAGGCAAAAGTTGTTTCGTCTCCTTGCGATGCACAAGGCGAAGAAAGGTAACAAGAAAGAGTCGAGCAACCTTATATGAACAAACTTGATACCCCTTGGTGAAGAACCCCTGAGAGCCTGCGGGATCTAGCACATGATGTTGGGACGAACAGATTTAAACGAGAAAGGTATATTCGGAACTATTTCTAGGATGGCCGTTCTAGCGGTCTCCAAACGCCTGGAGCCTGTGGCTCCGCAGAAGAATGTTCTCAAACGTCATTTTGAGAGTGACATTGTAATTATTCCGTCCGGTAAACGAGCTTTGGTGGGGTTGAAAGAGAAAGATTAATCTATGCATATTGTTAGCGCTGTTCTCAGATTGAGTGCAAAGATGCCGGGATCCAGAGCAGCCCGCTTTTCCTGCACGATTAACTGCTCCTGCACGCTCTCAAACTTGCTTCTCGAAGCGTACAGAGGCAATTTCTGCCGGACTTTCAGCTACGGCTGATCAACTTGCGCTGATAAAGGTCCCCGCATCTTCTCATCTTTTCGTGTTTGCTGTTATGTGCGATTGTTCTGAAACGCTCAATTCAACCTGGATTACTCCTTGAGCAACCATCCTGAAATTTCCATCTATGAAGTTCCAAGTCAAGACTTTCTGGCTTTTCCGTCACATAGCGGTGTAGCTCAGCGCCGGCCAGTTTTCGCTTTGATGTTCTCAGCCCCTATGCCGATATCCCAGATTTCCAGCGATCAACTGTGACTACTCTGACCTGTTTGACCGACTTGAATGCCGACGAATAAAACACCTTCCAGTGATTGAAATCAAGCTGATCGAAATGCTCCTAAAGATCCTGCGAGATGTCGGCGGAGAAAGTTTTGGGGCAGATGGTGATCCTTTGCTGACACGAAGTGTTGATTCAACAAAGTCTTTGTTTCCGCAGGCGCCACATTCATTGAACTCACTGATAAATATATCGAGAATGGCCTGACTGGGCGGGTATCTGCGCTCATTATCCACCGAAAGATTTTCCCTTGGTACATTTATTTTGTGGTCTGTTATACCTTTTCCGGTGATGCATATCGTCGAACTGATAACTAGGCTGCCTTGTGGCTTTTCAAGTGTCCAAGAAACCTGGTTCCAAGAGGCGCCTCGCAACTTCTTTTCCCATCTATTTCCTCGCCACGTGCATACATACATACGGCTGTGGTGGGATTTCTTTGCCGGCGACTGGGTCACTACTCACCCACCTTATTCGACGAAAAGTCCTCGATTTTGTTTAGAGGATAACCGTCGGCGACGAGAACGGCAGCACGCACTGGCACGTCCACGTCCTAGATGGCAGACATCGGAGAGAAGTCGGTCCCCCCTGCCACGCTTGTCAAGACAGACACCGCCGTCAACTCCAGAAACAGCGCATCAGGCCAGGTCGACAATAAAATAAGCGACAGCGACCAAACTGACGATGGCTAAGCCTCAAATAGCGAGGAGAAGAAGCCCGCGTCGCTCCGCTTCTTCTCCCGCGTGCATTGGTCTTACTCGACATCGCTTGATCACGCCCTCCGGCTCATTGGCCTGGTTGCTGCTATTGCCTCCGGTGTTCAGCCTCCACTAATGACGGTGGTGTTTGGCTCTACGGTGAATCAGTTCAACAATTACGAAAAAGGTAGTATTTCGGGACAGGACCCCTGCCGTAACATGTCAAAGAACGCCCTTTGGCTGCTCTATCTCTTCATCGGTCGCTTCTTTCTCGTATACGTGCATTCCACGTGCTTCGGTCTGGTGGGGATTCGCGTGACAAGGGCATTCCGCTTCGACTTCATCCGATCGATAATCAGGCAGGAGTTTCCTTCATCGACTATTGCGCGCTTGGCACCGTCGCGTCCACCATCTCCAACAGCGCCGACATGGTGGAAATTGGCAGTACCGAAAAGGTCGGCAGTCTGATCCAGACATGTCCATGTTCGTTGCTGCCTTCCTGGTCGCTTTTACGCGACAGTGGAAGCTCACCCTTGTTACGGCTACTTCGCTGCCCGTTCTCTTCATCGGGTTCAAATCACCTTCGGCCTTGGTAAGTGGGCCTTGCTCCCCTGCACAGGATTCTCGCCGCTAACCAGAATACATCATCAGACGCCAAGATTAAGGCAAGGATCCTGGAGATATACAACCGTGCCGGTGGTCTGGTAGAGGAGGCTCTGGGTCCGACCCGCATCGTGACGGCTTACAATGCCAGTGCTAAGCTGAGCCGCAAGTACGACGACTACCTGGCCGCTGCGCAGAGGCTCGGCTTCCGCAAGGGTCCCGTCATCGGTGTCCAGTGGAGTGTGGAGTTCTTCACAATCTACTGTGCCTACTCGCTTGCCTGGTTCTATGGTGTAAAGCTGCTTAATAACGGCGAGATCGGTGGCGGTGGGCAAATCATCTCGGTGCTGCTCGCGGTCCTTTTGGGTACAAATGCTGCTTTCAACGTGGCCCCAGGGTTCGGTGACTTCGCCAAGGCTTCAGCTGCTGCTCAGGGCATGTTCAAGGTAGTTGATCGCAAGTCTGAGATCGATCCCCTAGCAGATAGGGGCGAGCGGCCCGACAAGTGTGAAGGTCTGGTTGAGCTACGCAACGTCAGCTTTGCCTATCCCTCACGGCCCTCTGTGCAAGTTTTGCGCGACGTTAGCCTCGCCTTCAAGGCTGGTAAGACCACGGCGCTGGTGGTCGCGTCGGGGTCAGGAAAGAGTACCATTGTCGGACTGGCCGAACGGTGTTCAACCCGAGCAGCGGATCCATTCACGTGGACGGTCATAACATTACTGACCTAGACCTCCGATGGCTGCGTGGGAGAATCGGTCTCGTCCAGCAAGAGCCAGTGCTCTTTAGCAACACAATTTACAACAACGTAGTCCACGGATTATACGGATCTGCTATGAACGACCTCCCCGAGCCTGGGAAGAGAGAGCTCGTCCGACAAGCCTGCATCCAGGCGTTTGCGGATGAGTTCATCCAAGAGCTGCCACAAAAGTATGACACCAGGGTCGGAGAACGCGGCGCCTTGTTGAGTGGAGGTCAAAAGCAGCGTGTTGCAATTGCCAGGAGTGTTATCGCCAACCCGCAGATCCTGCTTCTTGACGAAGCTACCTCAGCCTTGGATCCTACGGCTGAGAGGAAAGTGCAGGATTCCCTCGACAATTTCTCTAGACAACGGACTACAATCATAATTGCGCATAAACTTCCAACAGTCCAGAAGGCCGACAAGATCGTCGTGCTTAGTCGGGGCGAGGTTGTAGAGCAGGGCACCCATCAGCAGCTGCTTGATCAAGGAGGAGCGTGTTACCAACTCGTCAATGCTCAGACGCTCAATACGGGAGAAGCAACAGCCGCACAAGGGCGTCTTGAGACATATGCGTCCTCAGAAGTTCCATGTGGAGATAATAGCTCAGTCGGAAGCATGGAGGAGGAACCGGCAGTCTTGTCCAAGTCTGCAACCAAGCAATCCCACGAGGCCGCAGACCCAACAGAGAATGAACGCGAGACCAAAGCTAAAGACATGGACGGTTTTCGGAAGCTTTCCATCGTGCAGTGCCTCAAAATTATCGTTTGGAAGGAGCACTGGCATATCTGGCCAATCTGGTTCTCTGGCATCATTTCCTCGGCAGCTGGCGGTGGTCTCTTCCCCGCGCAGGCCGTCCTCTTCGGATCCAGTCTTCCGGCACTGCAACTTCCTCCTGGTAACTACTTAGTAGAGCGCGGTAACTTCTGGGCACTGATGTACTTCGTCTTCAACCTAGGTGTCTTTGTGTGCTACCTCGGCGTCGGGTTCTTCTGGACTGTGGCATCGTTCCACACCACGCGCTTCTACCGCCGGGGATACTTTGATGCCATGCTGCGGCAGGATATTGCATTCTTTGACACCACGGCCACGGTGCGTCCGAGATGGCCAGTCGGCTCTCGCTGCATCCCCAGAGGCTTCAGAACTTGCTGTCCACCAACCTCGCTCTCATCATCGTCATCTTTGTTGACATCATCTCGTGCTTCGTTCTGGTAGTCGCCATGGGATGGCGCCTGGGCCTAGTCGTCATTGCGGGCGGCATGCCGACGCTTTTGGGTGCCGGCTTCTTCCGTCTGCGGCTCGAGATGGCCAACGAGGACCGCGTGACCCAGACGCATCTGGAAAGCGCTCGGTTCGCGGCTGAGGCTGTCGGAGCCATTCGTCCCGTGTCCAGCTTGACGTTGGAGAATAAAATTCTGAACGGCTTTAAGGCTCGTCTTGATGAGTGTGCCAGCCGGGAGCTGCGCAGCAAGATGATCACTATGGTCGTTCATGCATTCGCTGAAAGTATTAACATGGCCGTGACGGGCCTGGCCTTCTGGTATGGCGGGAAGCTGTTGTCTGAGGGTCGCTACGATATGCGAACGTTCTTCATTGTCTTCATGGCGGTGCTTATGGGGTCGCAGTCGGGGGGTGTTCTATTCGGCTTTTCATCCAGTAAGTTGCTTCACCAAACGCACAAATCCCAAGTAGCATTTATAAGGCAGGGAGAGAGACTAGGAATACTGACTCCTTTGGAACAGACGTTTCGAGAGCACACTCGGCGGCAAACCACATCATTGACTTGCGCACATCGCAGCCTCCCATTAACACCTCCTCGGGCCTTAAGGAACTGCCGGCGAGCAAGAACAGTCCGGCGGCCATTGAGTTCCGCGACGTGACCTTCGCCTACCCCAGCCGACCCACTCGCTCCGTACTACACGGTCTTAATCTCAAGATCCTAAGGGGCCAGTCCGTTGGCATCGTAGGCGCTTCGGGCTGTGGCAAAAGCATCATGGTTGCCCTTCTTGAGCGATTTTACGACATCAACTCAGGACAGCTCCTCGTTGAGGGCACTCCCCTCCGAGACCTGGACGTGCAGTTCCACCGCTCTCGCATCGGCCTTGTGTCGCAAGAAACGGCGCTTTTTCAGGGCAGCATTCGTGACAACATTCTCGTTGGTCTTTCGGATGAGGAAGCGGCGGCGCCCGATGCAGACGAGCGCGTGGAGCGCGCGTGCTGCTCGGCCAACATGCACGACTTTATCAGCAGCTTGCCCGAAGTGTACGGAACCGACGTCGGAAACCACGGTATCGCTCTCTCCGGAGGCCAGCGTCAGCGTCTCGCAATCGCCCGTGCGCTTATCCGCGAGCCAGAGGTGTTGCTGTTTGACAAAGCCACCAGCGCCTTGGACACTGCCAACGAGGCGCTGGTGCAGGCTGCCATCGAGGCGGTCGCGCGAGAGAAGCCTGGCCGAACCACTATTGCCGTTGCTCATCGCCTTTCAACTATACAGCGCTGCGACCGCATCTTTGTGCTACACAGAGGCCAAGTGACTGAGGAGGGCACACATGAGGAACTTTTCCACAGGGGGGGGAGGTATTATGATATGGTGTTAGCTCAGTCGCTGGATAGAGAGGTTGCCACAGTTATCTGAGCAATGTAGCTATTATATAATTACATCAAGGTGCGGCGGCAATATTCTTAACACGAGTGACGAGGACCTCTTGTTGTGGATAATCGTGATCACATTGATTAACTATGCTGTGTTCTATCTCCCAAGATGTGAGACAATTTTAAGTGTTGAAGAAATAAGAGGACTTGTAAACTGAGAATGAATAGTTCTCAAAAATAGTTGTATTACTCTAGGCATTCATCCGATTCTACTGTAGTCAAATCCTTTGAAACTCGATTCATTCCATTTCATCTATAGGAACCACTGACTATCGCCCGAAGCTCTGATATACTACCTCCGAGCTCGTATTCAGACTGAGTGCTATACTCAAGAAGAGCAGCATTGCCACTAGGTGGCTATGTAAGCCGACGTGAATCAAGGGTGACATGTGTACTTACTTGCTGGTATCCTTTGCATTCGAATTTGTTGTTGCCCAGGCCTGAGGCGCTTATCATTGTATTCCTCTGTACGACGAGTGTCTTGAGATCGGTTCTCATATCACAAGTCATAGCAGGGCCTCCATCAATGGAGCACGTTCCAGTCATGGTAGCTGTCCAAGTGTTCTCGTTTAGGGAACATACAGTCTGCCGGGCTTCAACCTGCTCAGTGGGCAACCCTAGGGCAGGCTGGATCATGGCAGCTATAGTAGCGGCTAGGTAAACAAGAGTGTGAGAAAACATTGTCTAGGATGTATCGTGGCCGACTGGAGGCGATGTATTAAGTGAGGGATGTGAATGATGTTCCTCCATTGAGATGACGAGACATAGTAACTCCTTTAAATAGTCTATACATCTTGCGGCTGTCTATTGTTACAAATAGAGCCGCCGGAGTCGCAATTATAGCCGGCGTCAAGTGCGAGTCATAATAAACCTTATATAGATTTGGACTTATTAGAGGAGGAGTTCGCGGTATAATAGAAAGTTTCAACTGAATCAAAGTATAATAAGTTAGTTCTTGGAATCTGCAAAATCCTGACTCGGGGGCCGATCTCCTGACCGGCAGTGCCGGGAGCTCGAATTGTATACCTTAGCCAAGACCCCCACTGCATAAATCAGAACTAAATCTAGGGTACTGTCGTTGACCTAAGACTTTTAAAAGCTACTATAGTTGAGCGATCGATTATGCGGGCGGGTTAATATACATCCGAATCCCAGCTGACGTGATAGAGTGTCGTCTAATTAAACACGGCTTTACCTAGATTACGCCGCCTTCTTCCTCCTCAAGCATCTCGAACTATATCTTAGTGTCTCTTAAATATCTTAGCGGCCGCGCCCTCTTTAGTCGTCTAGCCGGCCGTCAAGGCATCAGGACGTGCTCCGGCAGCGTCGTAGCGACCATACCCCAATCATCCTCAAAGCCAAGTACGTCTCAAATCCATGCATTTGTATTATAATTAAGTAGTTCCATTGACACATGTTTCTCAGTTCCGAAGGCGAGTCCTTTCCCTTTAAGCTTATACCTGAGGGGTTCTACTATTTATCTCTACATCTTATTACCGAGTTTAAACCCTTTAAAAAATTATTATTAATTGTTGAAGCTTTATTTACTAGTTTATAAATATAATTAACCCTAAGTTATCTAAAGACCCTTATTATTATTGTTTAGTCCTTACGGCCTAAACTTCTATAAACTTACCTCACTATAACTAGCTGGCCGTAATAAGATTATGGTGAATTCATAGCGCATCCTAGAAAGACTCTAGGTAATAGTGACTCACTCTTACAGCATTCCCAATCTTCTTGCCCTTACATCATTCCCGCACCCTTCTACCCGTGCGCCTATAAATAATCGTGTGAAATAGTAAGAACGGAGAAAGAATAGAGATGGGTGTAGCGGGGACGGACATACTGACGCCATCTAGCAATCCACTAGATGGAATGAGATGCATCGTCTTCCTAAAGCAGATAATGCGAGGCGTTTCGCTCTAGTGACTGGCTGGCACCTACGGAAGATACGAATTATCTTATGCCGACAGATATTGGAGTGCCAGAAGACTCTGGATGAACGGCGGCGCTAGTAGCGGCATTGAGATATTACTGGACGATGATTTCCAGCTCATCGAGCTACGTTCATTAGCCGCATGTAAGTTCCCGCCTGGGCACGCCATCGGATAACTCTTGGGATGCCTCATGGTTCGCCTAGACACGACTGGAGGAGTACATAAATCCCCGAAAGAATGCGCCAAGGAAATTCCCGGCAGTCTTGTACAACGAGAGTTCACGTAAATTGCTGCTGTAATGGGCGAGGCGGTCTTTAATCCCCTTCCCGCTTTGATGGGTTGGAACAGCGCCAGATCGAGATTCCGGACTAGCGTCCACAACAACGACGTCGAGACAAATCGACAGTTTTTCCGTTTCTTTACGATGACTTAGACCAGCCTGAGGCGGCCAAAGCCTCTGCGGAGGGTTTGCGCAGTAGTGCGAAATTGGTTATCCAACAATACTATCAATTGGGGAACGGGATCGATCTAGTCTTCTCCCTGAAGCTATTAAATCCTCGGCATCTAGCTTGGACGACGACAGGATTAGATTCTGCCATTCTCTTCCAGGCAGCACAAAAACCTGAGCTTGTAATCCAACTTTACGTTCTGGTCAGAGACCTTACGGCTTTGCAGGATTTAGATGAGGAATTCCCAAATTTCGAAACCTTTATCCTATATTCTGCAGGAGACTCTCCACTGCGATTATTGCGAGATCGGACGCTGATACGATATCCATGCGAATACAGATGGGGTGAATTCGCTACTTGGAGAATCTTGAATCTCTCAAAGCTCCGCGACAGGGTTGGAAAACTTCCTACGGCTCTTCAAAAGCCTCGAGAGAGCTGGATGATACTCCAAACGATGATCGAAAGTTTTCGAAGGGAAGTGTCCCTGACCGTCATGGAAGAGTCACGTGAGAGTTTAGAAATCACGTTCAACCTCTTTGACAAGAAGATCGAAGGGTGCCGGAATGCCATTGCCACCTTAGAAAAGGAGGAGGAAAGTGAGTGATGGAACGTGATATCAGAGTGTACCTTGTCTCCTTGTGATATTCCTAAGATTACTCAGGCTCACTGAACATGCAGAAATGCATTCTCTCGTACCTGAGCCGGGCATCTTCAAGACTCCTTCCGTGTCCTCAGCCATTGAAGTCATTTCTATCGATATCAACAAACTTCGGGCACGAACAGGACAATCTAAAGGTCCCGGTCCCAAGAAGCTACCAAAGAAAACCCCACAGACGGGTGTCAGAGGCAATATAGCATCAAGAAAGCGCTCAGCCCCGGAGGATCCCAAACTCTGGCGCACTCTCAGCCTTCCTCTCGTCACTTGTCTCGTGGTGAGGATGTGCAAGACACGTACACAATTCATCGACATGAGTTGAGTCATCTTTCCAACTTTCAATCAATCACGATTTGGTTATTGGGTGGTATCGCACGACACGATGCATCAGACGTTGTGGGCCATGGTGGGCTATGTGATGTTGTCACGAAACAGGAATGGTATCAGCACTTGTCAAGCATCTTGCCACGTGCTTTCTCACGTGGATATCACATTCACTTAGTATATAGACTGCTCTCATGTGCTTCTTCCAGATGGGTTACTTCAAGCCACTTTAACCCACTTCATATGCCCATTGATGCGTGCCATAATTCGTGACAGATGTTCTCGATCCCACAACTGACCACCTCCGCTAAGATTCTAAGGTAGCTACCTGTGCCTCACCCGCGGCTATAATTCCGTAGCGTCTTTCAACTCCCGAATTGTAATATCAACCAAACCTTTAAGCGTGATGAACTTCTCCAGAAAAGTAGAGCTTGACACCATATGAAAGGAACCGCGGAACTAGCTCTGTGCCGCCCTGGCCAGCCGTTCTCATTCCGCGATTCCGCCCTCGACTTGGTGAGCAGAAATTCCAGCGAGAAGGACGAACCAATCACTGGAACCAATTCCATAGCTTCCTCATACGATGCCGATAATCGTTCCCCGCATTCAGCGTGCCGCTGGGATCCGTCTTCCCCGCAGGAACCTCCCAGGTGCATGCAGCGCGGCGCCTCGTCCGAGCACATCCTCGTCGGCATAGGAAGGCTAGTAGCGGTTCTCCTACGCCTTTCCCGTGTCGAGCAGATATCTCAAGCAAGCGGAATTTCCATGCTTACGCGTGTACGGTTGGTGTATTGGCCTTGAGCTCAGTGAAATAAGATCGAGTCCCAGTCCAGGTGTGCCCTCAGACCAGCTTTCTTTCACTTGAAGCCACCTAGTAAATCCCAAGATACCAACATCTAGTGACCAGCGTGTTTTCAACCGTCAAGATGTCCGACCCAGACTACATCCTCTACTCCTACTTCCGCTCATCCTGCTCAGCCCGCCTCCGCATAGCCCTTAACCTCAAATCAATCCCCTACACCACAATTCCAACCAACCTCCTCAAAGACGAACACCTCTCCGAAACCCATCGCGCCCTCAACCCCTCCGCCAGCGTGCCCCTCCTCGTCAACTGCTCCGACGCAGACTTCAGAGTAACACAATCCGTCGCCGCCCTCGAGTACCTCGAAGAAACGCACCCCTCAATTATGCCGCTCCTCCCCAAGGACGCAAAGACGCGCGCCGTGGTCCGGAGCCTGGTTAACATTGTCGCCTGTGACATCCAGCCTGTGACGAACATGCGTATTATGAGGAGGATTAGGGCGATGGGCGGAAATGCGGAACAGTGGAACCGCGAGTTGATGGCGGATGGGTTTGCGGCGTATGAGGCTGTTGCGAAGGAGTGGGCGGAGGAGTGCTCCGTTGGTCATGAGATTTCGTTGGCGGATGTGTGTTTGTTGCCTGCATATTGGAATGCTGAGAGGTTTGGGGTTGATTTGAGCCCGTATCCGACTATCAAGAAGATTGCGGAGGGGCTGAAGGATCATCCGGCTGTTGTGAAGGCGCATTACTTTAACCAGCCAGATACTCCTGAAGAGTTGAGGATGAAGTAAGATGTAAATCATCGGTCGGTAGTCGTTATAATCCAGTTCAGCATCTTCACTTGCACGCATCTCATCATCTTCGTCAGTGACCTCATATTTGACTCCTACTAAGCAAGCGAATGACTTTTGATTAACTGATGCTCATGTCCCTTCGATCACGACTAAGGCGATCAGAAAAGCTTCAGCGCGGCCTCAATCTTGCCAGAAACTTCGCCGAACCCAACCAATGCGCCCTCCTGGCCACTCCAGCCGCGGATGATGAGGGTATCGCCGTCTTGCAGGAACTTGCGCTCCTCTCCTCCGCTCAATTGCACTGCCTGCTTGCCTCCCTGGGTCTGCTCGAGGACACTTCCCTCAGTGCCAGGCTCCGTGCCTGAGATAGTGCCTGATCCAAGCAGATCGCCCGGTCGCAGGTTGCAGCCGGTGATTGTGTGGTGCGCAATCATCTGCGGCCAGGACCAGAGCAGGTTCTTGGAGTTGGTCTTGCTGATTGTTGTCTTGTTTCCGTTGGCAGCTGAAGAAGTGAGACCCATTAGCATCTGCAATCAAGTAAGGGTTCAAGGGATCTGAACGAGAACGTACTGATAATGTCAACTTCCAGGTCAACACCCAAAACGTTGTTCTTCTTGCTCTCGCGCAAGTAGGGCTGCAGCTCCGTCTTGTTCTCAATACCAGCCGTCTTGGACCCGTCCAAGGCATCGGCGAGAACAACCCAAGGGCTAATACTCGTGCCCAGGTTCTTTGACGTGAAGGGGCCGAGAGGGACATACTCCCAAGCCTGAATGTCGCGCGCACTCCAATCATTCATGAGAACGTAGCCAAAGATGTGCTCCTCCGCCTGGTCGACGGGCACCGGCTCACCAAGCTTATTCTCCCGGCAGAGAAACATGCCCATCTCCAGCTCAATATCCAGCCTCTGGCAGGGCGAGAGCACGGGCACCTTGGGCTCGGCCTTGGGGTCCTTGAGGATCTGGCCCCACGGTCTACGGATGGGCGTGCCGGAGACGACGACGCTGCTCGCGCGACCGTGATACGCGACGGGGAGATGCACGTAGTTGGGCTGCAGCGCGTTGTCTGGGCCGCGGAAGAGCACGCCGACGTTGTAGGCGTGGTTCTTCCCGGCGTAGAAGTCGGTGTAGTCGCCAATGGCGAGGGGCAGGTGGTTCTGGATCTCGGAGAAGGGGATCAGTGCCGTCTTGCGCAGCTCGGCATTGTCTTTGAGGAGGCCTGCGTGCGGGGTGTTCTCGGCGAGGATGGACTGCAGATATGTGCGGACTTCTCTGTGGACTTTGCGGCCGAGGGCAGCGAAGTCGTTTAGTGTGGTTGACGAAAAGACTGAGACGTGTTCTTGAATTGAAGGGAGGGCATGGAAGCCGCCGGCCTTTGCGAATGCCTTGAGGTCGAGAGCATTATCACCAATCGCGATGGCGGGGCGATGAGTCTGGTCTGAGGTTGTGGAGATGATGCCAAAGGGGATGTTTGCCAGCGAGAAGTGGCTTTTGGGGGACACAGAGACCCAAGACTGAGAGTTTGACATGATGGCGAATGTTTAAGGTGAGTATCTGCTCAAGATGATAATGAACAATGCTTCAACAGACAATAATAAGAAGCTCTCTCTTGGATCTTCAAAGATGATGAAGCTTTGAGCTCTCAGGGTCTCAGTGTGAGGTCATTGCTGTTTGGAATTGGGCGATTCCGCAATTCCGCCGCAAGCCGAGCGGGTAGGTGTGGGAACCGGGCCGCCGCGGAATGAAATGGTCGCTGCGGGGTAGCTCGGCGCCGTGGCGGGGGAAGTCTTTTTGCCCTTCAAAGCCGCGAGTAGGCGACGTGTTGACGGTTTGTCCATTTCCGCGTCTTGCATATTCCCAACTTACCAAGGTCTGGTGTAGCCCGAGATTGATGTCGCATTATCTCTCGCCGCATCCCGACTGTTGGATGTTGCTCCAGCTCAGTGTACGACCGTCCTCTGTCTCGGTATGATCTGACAAACTTAGAATCTCGATATTCTCTAGAAATAGAGATTCTGCTGCGACTTGGACAATTCCTTGGCCTTGCTGAGGTTATCGGACGATGGTCTATTGACGGGAGTAGAGACCATTGGCGTCATGGCTCGAAGCTGAGGTTCAATGACCGAGTCTGAAATTGCTTGGTGGTCCGACAACACTGAACCAGGTACCGAGCCCGGGTCTCTTAGCGGAGGAGGAGGCGCAAACATAGGATCAGAGACTGTTGAAATAAGCGATTGAGGGCTTGCGGCAGGGATGTCGATGGCAGGGTCATTGTGCTCTGTAGCTTTTGATCGGTACCAGGCTTGTATATCATCAGTTGTCTGCAATGGGAGGCTATCCCATTCCTTGACACGGTCGACCTTATTCTGTCTTGGTGTCCAAGCAGCCTGTGGCAGTAGTGCAGGCGAAGAAGCCGATTCGAAGCCATGGGCATCAAGTGCCCCTGAGAGCACGCGGAAAAGAGCAGCTTCAGTCTCGGCGAGTCGGGTTTCTAGCTTATTGAGGTACCCATTAGGAATTCCCCTAAAAGTTTCTGATTAGTGTTTATGGTATCTATCCGACAGACTGTAGATGGTTGCATACCTTTTACTCTGCTCTGGGTACTGACATCGTCCAGGCTCGTGGCTGCACTGTAGACAGAATGGTCTGCGGGGAAGAATCTTCAGCCTCAGGACTTGGCCAGACAAGGATCCTCTCGGAGTGCCGGGGAGCCACTTACAACTTCCTATCACACTTGAACGGTGTTAGTCAACTGCCGTGGTCAAAGTCGCCTAAAGACACATAGTCGGACTAACCCGTCGTTTCCTCTGTCGACAAGACTCACAGGCAATGGGGCTCTGTAAGACATTGCCTTGTCTCTCGCTGCTGTTTCGGGACATTTTGGAAACCTTCTCCTTCGTTTGCCAAATTAACTCCAACGTAGAATTTGTTGCAGAGAACCGCTATTGCCGTTTGTCGTCCTCCCTAGTCGAGGATCTCCGGCGCAAAAGCTGGAGTTCAAGAACAAAACTCCATGACCACTGCGGGGTTTTCTTTGTCCGCCGGTGCCCCACCCTACCGGAAGGTGCCGTGTCATGGCCCCACCCTCACCGACGTCGCCTCCGACGCGGGCGCGTCAGCCTCTCGCTGGTTTCCTTTCTGGGACAACGATGCTTTTTTACGTCCTCATAGTCTCATTTCTCTCAAATCTCGCTCTAACACATATTCCAAAGGCTAATCGTTGGTCGATCCAACCCCAGCCTTGGCACATCTGGCACATCTGGCACTTTCTACTCCGCACAACAACCTCCGTTGACCGCCCTTCTCCCCCTTGCCTCTCCTCTCTGATTTTTACTCTCGTTGTGTCTCGGCGGATAATTTTCTTGCCTCTCAAGGCCGTCCTCTCTGTCTTCACTTCTCCACAATCACATCATGCTTTGGGTCCCCACCATTCCTCGCACCGTCCACTGAAGACGGGCTATCAAACCCCGGATCTGCATTTACCTTCACCATCCCCCTTCCCTCCGAATGGACGCCGTAGAGTCGCCCAATGCCACCTCCGAGTCGGGAACCCTCAGCCCGGCGCACTTCAACCACTCACGCAAGCGGAAACACTCGGGCTCAACAGACCGTCCCACACGCGAGTATGGCTTGATGCGAGACACGGGCAAGCATGACACCGCCCGCTTCGTTGGTAGCGGCAGCGGCATTCACTTTATCCGGGGCGTCTACGTGAGGCTGGCCCGCAAATCCGCGCTCAGGACATCCCAGTCCACCAACAACATTAGCGATCTCGTTCCCGGAGAAGACGACCAGCTGCAAAGAGAGACGTCCTCCCGTGATGGCGACGAGCAGAATCTTTGGAGAAGTTCAGAGTTGAAACCAGAGTCTGAAGGCGATGACTTAAACCCTTCCTTTGAGCAGCTGGTCGACTGGTCAAGGAGCTACTTTGAAGCATGGCACCCGACGCTCCCTTTCCTCAGCGCCCCGGAAGTGCTCAACCTCTTCGAGGAAGTCAGTGCTGGCGGGTCAGCTGCCCTCAGTCACCTCGAGCGCTCGATTGTCAAGTCGATATTTTCAATCTCTTTAGCTGACAGTCGCCAAAAGGCTCCCTTTACTCAGCCAGTTCCAGCCTCCCTCGTCTTCCGCACCGTCGAGGAGGCAATGTCGGCGTCACAATTCGCCCTCTACCAACCAGCCTCGATCCAAGCTACACAAGCTGCCCTCGCCATACAACTGTTCCTCGTCTCCATGCTGAGGTTGAACTCGGCATCGAGATTAGGCGGCTTAATAGTCAGAATGGCTTTCCATCTCGGCTTACACCGGTGCCCTTCGAGGTACCCCTTCTTCACCAAGGAGGAGGCACATATGCGCCGACGCGTCTTTTGGTGCATATACTGCACGGAACGATTCCTCTGCCAAGCGCTTGGCCTGCCTCTGGACATCCGGGACGACGACGTCGATGTGTGCTATCCCGGCGAAGAAAAGCACGGAACACTTACCGACGCCGAAGACAATAGGCTGCAATTGCTCACATACCTGGTCAAGCACGCGCGGATACGGGGGCTGATTTTGGAGCTGCGAAACAAATCAATACACTCACGAGACGACACCGCGGATCGCTCTAGTTACGTCCAAGCAGAGCTTGCAAAATGGTCAAACGAGATCCACGACGCGGTCGAAGACGAGCATACACAAGATGAAACCACACCACAACCACCAATCTCTGCAGGACATCGGGTTTTCTTGCTTCTGCTCAAGTACGAGTCAATGATCTCCCTCAATCGTCCGATGATGACGTCCGACCCTTCGAGCCCGGCGTACTCTGCGGGTTTGCAAAACTGCATTTTTGCAGCGAAATCCATCTTCATTGCTTTGAAGAGGCATCATAGCCAGAACAAAGTCCCGGGTGACCCTACGAGCGCTTATTTGCTTGAGCCATTGCTTCAGCCGTCGTTTACTTGGGCCGTGTGGATTAGTGCATTCATTCTCATATATGCTGGCTTTGAACGACAGCTGCCTTTAGCAAGTGCGTTGAAGTAAGTCCGCCAGCTAACTTCTACGATCCGCAATTTGAGGGCGAACTTAAACTAACTTTTGGCAGACACGTGGAATCAGGCAAAGAAGTTCTCCGTCACATTGCTTCTCGCGACACGTCGTGGCCCGAATACTGCCTCTCCGCAGTCGACGAGCTCACGGCAGCCGTAAGAGAGTTATCTGTCCCGAATAATTCGCTCAGGCGACAACCGAGCACGAGTAACTTGGCACCGAACAGCCATCTCCGAGCAGACCTCGGTCAACAAGCTCGACCAAACAGCAGTTCCAGCAGACCCAGAGGGCTACGCTCCGACTCAACAAACACCCAGCCAACCGGATCCAGCCTCCGAGCCCGCTTCTCTCCGTCTGTCGCTGCATCCTCAGGCCGGCCAGATGACCAAGGGATAGTCGCGCCAGACAATCCAATCTGGTCACAGAACCAAAGTGATGGATTTTCGGGACCAACAGATGACCAGTCTGGTAGATGGCCCACACAGGCCTCGCCGGTATCCGGTCCGTCAGTCAACGCGGGGTGGACGGCGAGTACACCCGGGGCTCAATCTGGGTTCCAAGCGACTGCGCAACAGGATTCTCCCAACTTTGATAGCCAGCCGTTTTCTCTATCGCTGGGCGCTGCCACGTCGTTTCCCGCGATGGGGACTTCGGAAAATGCCCCTGGCGAGGGGCAGGAGTCTATGGTTTGGTATGATCAGTTGTTTGCTAATTCTTTTGGCGCAATTGATTATCCGTTTCTGGCGGCGGCGCAGTTTGATTCGTCTGTGGATCCTACGTGGTCATATTTACGATAGTGGTATTGCCTAGTTGATGTCGGAAGCGTCGGTGGACACGACCAGGAGTTCTCAGGTTGAGGTTGTGCCAATAGCCACTGCCGAGAAGGCTGAGAATTATGTCTTGTAGATCTTGATACCCATGTTACATAAAGAAGGTAGACAATGTGAACCAAGGCGCTTCAGCGACTTGAAATACGAACTACAGCAGAACTCCCAAGGAGGTCGGTCTCTTGCCTTAAATTTCGATGTCTACTGATTCTCGACTCAAATTGATTTTAGCATGAGAAGGCGTGCCAACGTGAAATTGAACGGGAATCGTCAGAATCTGGCCCATCACACTTTCCATGAGCTGAACCTAGCAGAATCCGACACCTGCTTTGGGACGATCCATCGATTGTATATTGGATCTCCGGCCCGAGAGTCTGGCTCACTACTAATATATTGCGGAGAAGTACCGACAGTCTGGGACCGACGATCTATGAACCCACCAGTATTGGCCACGGACATTTCACGGTCCCACAACATGCAACGCTCGCAACATAGACAAGCGGGGCGAATTGGTTGACAACTTGAGATTATCGGTCAGGCTAGAAATGGAACAAGGACATGCCCGATGGAGCATGGTGTAGGTGCAACATTCATCATCGTCCTATGATACATTTGGGTACAATCGCCCTTGTCATGTTTGTCTATTAAAGAGTTCCACCGGAACAAGCTCTCGCTAATGTGGGATATCCATTTCCCCGGCCTTTAATAGGCATACTTGGTGCCGCTGGCGCCCATCTTCTTGTTCGTAGAGACCAACCAGAAACGCAACGCCCAGGTACCAGCAATGCAAGCAAACGCGAAAGCAGCGTTGCTCGACATGGCCGTAAGATACCGAGGCCCATCGCTCTTGGGGTACTGCAAAGCCACTGTTAGTTTTCATTCCCGGGATCTGGCGAGGCAGGGGTTGAACGTACCAAGTAAGCGGTGTAAATGTACGACGCATTAGCAATAACGTTGACAATAGACAGACTAACAGCCTTCTTCTCTTGCGTGGATCCCAGTGTCGCCGAAACCCAGCCCAAAATACACGAGTTGACAGCGTACGCTCCCGAGGCAAAGAGAAAGCAGGAAATGTAGCGTGCCGGCGTGTTGAGAGTGGCGCACGAGATGACGAAACCGACAATAGCCATGCCCATGCACGCTGTGATGTGCCAGGTTCGCTCGTTGTATTTTCCGGAAGAGATACCGACGAGGTAGCCAAAGATGCCGGAGATCAGGTACGGCGGACAGGTGAGGACAAGGGTGATTGTGTCATTGAAGCCGAGGGAGCCGACGACGGTGGGGAAGAAGTTGTTGAAGCTGCAGGCAGACTTTGGGTCACAGTCAACATATGTCCATTCGGCAGATAGGCAAAGGGAGAGCTTACGAGATGCATGTTCTGGATGAAGCAAAGGAGCCAGAGACGAGGGTCGCGAACGGCTTGCATGAAGCCCGCCTTGGCACCCTTGCTCTCTTGAAGACCGACAGTATCTCTCAACATACGGTCGTGAGCAAGCTGGCGCTCTTCAGGCTTTAACCAGCGAGTCGTTAGAGGGCTATCAGCGAGTGTGAAAATGCCAATGACGGCGACGCCAAAGGTAAGGCACGCCTCGATGATGAACAACCACTGCCATCCCTTCAACCCGTGGTTCCCATCAATGGTGTTGAACACAGCAGCGGCGATGAGACCCGAGAAAGACGTGGCAAAGATGTTTCCCGAGTAAAGGATAGAGAGCCGGGTGGCAATTTCTTTACGTGTATAGAAAATGCTGAGCATGTAGATGGCGCCTGGGTAGAAGGGAGCTTCGGTCACGCCGAGGAAGAAGCGGACGATGACGAGGTGGGTGTAGTTCTTTGCGAGGGCGGTGCAGCCGGAGACGAGGGCCCACGCCATCATGCAGATTGCCATGTAGACGGATGGTCGGACGTGTTTCGAGGACATGAGCATGTTGGATGGGATTTGCATGAGGAGGTATCTGTGGACCGCACCGTCAGCGCTGTCTAGAGGATGTTCGGGTTGAGGCAGTGAGACTTACCCAACGAAGAGAATTGAGATGCAAGTGTTGTATTGCGAGCCCTGGAGACCTAGATCTTTCTCGAGGCCATCCAGACGAGCCTGGGCGATTGCATTTCTGTCGAGCTGTTCATCCATGCAAAGTCAGTTGCTAGCTCAATTTCACCTTGGCAACACAGAGAGGACTTACGTAGTTCAGGAAGTACATGCACCTAGGGTTTTGTGAGCTATTGAGCATAGTCGCCAGTCTAAAAAAAAATGAGAACTTACCAAAGTGTCGGCATGATTCTAAAGTCAAGCTTCCTGACAAGAGCAATCTCCTCTGCGCTTGTTTTTGCCACAGCACCAGAGTAATCAGCTCCAGGCTGCAACACGCCGCCCTTCTCATCCTCAGTCGACATCTCAACGAAGTTGTCGTTGGGCTTAGACTCGAGGTCCAAGTCGTGCTTCTTCTCGTGAGCCATTTCGGTCTTTGTCTTTGTAGAGTTGAGATGACGTGAAGGATCCAGGATGGTGAGCAGTGGGCAGCAAGAGATGAAAATTGACTGCTGAGAGTCTGTGAGTTGCAAAAGATGAGACTGAAAGGCGTCAGATCAGCTCTTATACCCTGGATCTACCTGTCTTTGCCCCAGAATATCTGTGCTCAGTCCGGGGTAACTCCACGGGGTTGTGTTTAATCATGCCATGTTTTCTTCTACGTCAACAGAAACCTGGCTCGGTGTCCGTTTTCCATAGAGGTTTCCTCGCAAACAACGAGGGCAAGTCTCCCTGGCTCCCCGGACTCATACTAGCCTAAGCGGACAAAGAAACTACCGGGGCATTTGGGGTAAATCTGCGGGGGACGCGGGGAAATGGCATGGAAAGCCAGGTTCTTCACCACGCTTAGCTGGGTTGCGATGAGGGGGAATCAACGAGCTAAGGGCACATGTTCATCTGGATTGGTGTTGTTAAGGCTATTCGACGGGTCTATTGTTGACCCATCCGGTCGGACGGGCTTGCGGGGGCGCACCGGGCCCAGAGACGTGGGACTGACTTACCCCGGATAGCTAAAATTCAACCTAATTGAGGGTTGCGTATGGGGTTATGTTGATCCTTGGGATGATATGTGTTGCAATTTCCCTAGATTGAGACATGAAATGAAGTCTAGTAGGTCTAGATCCCCAGGCTAGGGCAAGTGGCCAGTTCTTAGATGCAAGATGGTCGGAAAATTGGGAATGAAACTGTGTTGATACGACGCCAGATCAGGATCACTAATTCACATGAGACAACAGATAGGACACTTGATTACTTGTAACTGCCTTCTACGCCTTGGAGACGCCCAGCACCTTTCGATTGGAGTCTAAGATAACGCGAACATGAGCTTTCCTCCCAGCATCCTGTTGCGGGAAAAAAGACTCGTTCGTCAACCTCTCTAGATACAGCTCATACGCGGGCATATACCCCTGAACAAAACGAACAACCTCCGCATCCATCATTCCCGCGCCTTTCTTCTCCCGCAATGCTCTCTCTTGGTCTAGACGCCAGTGGTAGACGTTGACTAGTTGGTCTGTGCTGAGGTGAAGGAACGCGTCGAAGCGCCAGGGGCCCATGAAGCTCTCGCAGTACCTTTCCAAGTTTCTATTGATGAGCTGAAGGTGCTGGAGGCTATGACTGGCTAGTGTTGTTGTGGATAGCTGAATGTCTTCGGGTTTGGCTGTTGATAATTCCTTGGCTCTTTTCCACTTCTCTTCGACTTCGTCGGGTGACAGTGGTTGGAAACCAAGGCACCAACCCTCGAAGATAAGAACCTCCAGAGGTGGGTTCCTGGGCACATTGTCCCACTGTGACTCTGGGGCTCTGCCACCCTCACCGCTGAACAGGCTTTTGTCGAAAGACGGCCACTTGATGGGCTCTGAATCTGACTGCTTTGACTGTGACTTGGACATATCATCGAAGAAGCGCCGCGCGAGATCTTCATCGTGTGTTCCTGGTTGTCCACGGGTGCGGAGAAGGCCATTTCCAGGGTTAGAATCTCGTAATGACACCAGCTGGTCATGGTCGTGGTAAAGGTCGTCTAATGATAGCGTCCTTGTGTTGATGCCGTACTTGGCGTTGAGTGTGTTGGTAAGAGCCTCAGCCCATGTTGACTTTCCACTCCCTTGCAGGCCCGAAAGGCCAAGAATGAAAGGGGCCGCCGACTTCGCTCTATGTGTTTTGATTGAAGGAAGAAGTTGCTGGCTGACAGCCTCCAAAGCTGTTGTGTCGATCATGGCGAGATATTACCTTGACACTCAACCACCTGGCGACGGGAAACTTGCCAGTTGAAAATCACCTCTCAAGCCCGAAACCGAGAGGCGCGCGTACGCTATGGTTGGAGGAATGCACGTGTTGATATGCTTTCAAACGCGGGGAAAGCTTGCGAATGATCCTGCGTGAGACTAATTGAGATTCAGAGTAGCTGCGTTCAAAGGCGCATCCTGTGTTGCTTGTGAGGCAATTGGAAAACAACTCAACGCCGTCGAATGATAGTCCTGCGGGGTTATCTTCCTCCGCGGACATGTCTTTGCCAGCGGACAGAGTCAACACCGCTCCCCGGACCCCAGATCGCCGCCCCCACCACGAACCCCAACTCCACAAACTCCCGACACTTGCGGCGCAATCCCGAAGATGGTGGGCGATGAAGACGGTGATCTAGCCGTTGTCGGCGGAAGTCAGACAATTACAAAAGAAGACAACTTCACTGCGCTCTGACATACCCTGCAGCACAGCCATCATCACCAACTGCAAGATCTCATCTCATCATTAAAGGGAAAAGATACCTATCATACCCCCCTGGTCTTCAGCCCCTCATACGACTGCAACCACCACACACCCAACCACTTCACTCCTCACAGTCATCCACGATGTCGCCCAGCGCGCTCCCTGCCCAAAAGTCTTACAGCATCGCCTCCATGGGGGCTGATGGTATCGGCCCGGAGGTCATCGAGGCTGGTGTGGAGGTCCTCAAGGCTCTTTCCGAGACTCTTGGCACATTCGACCTCAACTTCACCGACTACGACTGGAGCTCCGAGACTTACAAGAAGACCGGAAAGTACATTCCGGACGGCGGTCTTGAGCAGCTCAAGAAGCACGACGCCATCCTCTTCGGCGCCGTCGGTGCTCCCGGTATGTTACACCCACGAGTCAAGACTCCGTCTCGTGCTCATGACTAACCTACGCAGATGTCCCCGACCACATCTCTCTCTGGGGTCTCCGCTTGGCAATCTGCCAGCCCTTCCAGCAATACGCCAACGTCCGTCCCACCCGTGTTCTCCGCGGTACCCAGTCTCCCCTCCGCAACTGCGCCGAGGGTGATCTGGACTGGGTCATCATCCGTGAGAACAGCGAGGGTGAGTACGCCGGCCAAGGTGGTCGCTCGCACCGCGGCTTCCCCTGGGAAACCGCCACTGAGGTTTCCATCTTCACCCGCCACGGTGTTGAGCGTCTGATCCGCTTTGCTTTCGAGACTGCCCGCAGCCGTCCCCGCAAGCTCCTCACTTTTGTCACCAAGAGCAATGCTCAGCGCAACGGCATGGTTCTCTGGGATGAGGTTGTCTATGAGGTTTCCAAAGACTTCCCCGACGTCTCTCTTGACAAGATGCTCGTCGACGCCATGACTACAAGAATGGTTTTGAACCCCAAGAGCTTGGACACCATTGTTGCCACCAACCTGGTAAGTATCTGTTGAATTGAGTTTTTGCATGAGAGACTAAAAATGGCTCCAGCACGCCGACATTCTCTCCGATCTGGCTGCTGCCCTCGCCGGCTCCATCGGTATTGCTCCTACCAGCAACCTGGACCCCAGCCGCAAGAACCCCTCCATGTTCGAGCCCATCCACGGCTCCGCCTTTGACATCACCGGCAAGGGTGTTGCCAACCCCGTAGCGACCTTCTGGACTGCCGCCGAGATGCTTGAGTGGCTCGGCGAAAAGGAGGCGGCGACGCAACTCATGGAGTGTGTCGAGAACGTTACTGGCAACGGTGTTGTCACTGCCGATCTCGGTGGCAAGGCGACGACGAAGGAGGTCACTGCTGCTGTTGTGGCCGAGATCAAGGCCAAGCTTGGCAAGGGCAAGCAATAGAGGGTTACTTGGGCATAAGGAATATGGCGAGGATTTATGATTGCGCATGAGGAGGGCCTGAGCTTACACGATATGAAGCAATGAGGAAATAGAATACCAGCATATGTACATCTACACACGGTGCGCTTACTTCGCCGAAAAGAACTTTACGGATATATCAAGCCAGATCGTGAAGCACCTCTGTGAGACAGTCAGCATATTGTATCTGATTGATCTAGCACTACTCTCCCGACCTTGACATAAGGTACCACACGTTAGCCTACTGGTGTGGTTCCTATTTGTCTAATCCCCAAGCAATCTTCTTACCTTTTGCGCAGTGTTCCTGGGTCAACGGGAAAACGTCAATAGCTCATGCTTGAACTAAGATCATCAAGGCTGTACAAGAGTGACTATAAATGGCTAGAACGTTTCGTATCGTTAAGTCGATGAGATGCATACCCTATTTCTGGACGACGCAGATGTCCTAGAATCATTGTGGCATGCTAGTCTTCTTCTTGAAGAAGCGGGAGGTTACATCCCGTCTGCAGAAGCGACTCGTTCCGGTTCAGCCAAGCCCCTGATGCCCTCGGCATGAAACGGTTCCCAGTCGGGGCGGCCGATAGATCTCTCCCTTCTTCTGTGTCTTGTGTCTTGGTTCCTCTCTAAGTAGCTACCTCAAGACTGAGAACAAGACACGGCACGCTTCAGATGTGCACGTACTAGTGTATTCTCTCTACACGTGCTTAGCGAGCATCGCCTGCTCCGTGCTACGGGAGGCCATGTGAAGCGACGAACTCATCAAGAGATGAACGAAAGAATGTCATTCTTATCCACTTCACATGTGAAATACGACATGGAAGTTCGCCTGACGAATGACCTTAATCTTGTCCCTGTCCTACGATTCGCGGTAGCTACCTGATCCGAGTCAAGTCTGTTCTCGCCAAACCCCAATAGTCTAGCGTATCCGGCCGTGCTAGCTGCAGCCTCTCAGCCTTGACGATGTAACAACGAACCCAGCGCGTCGGGTGCTCTGACAGTAATGTTTCCATGAATCGCGTGGCAAGGAAATTGCGGATCTGGCACAGCCCGGTTGTTCTACCGGCGATCTAGAAAGAAGGAAAAGAAGGACAGGAAACGCTAGTACGGCAAGGGCTAAGAGATAGACGGTTCGGCGGGGGCACGGTTGATGGCCCTAGTGCTCTTCTTTTGCGTCGAGAACTCTCGCTCCGATGTTTCCGTGGAACGTGTTTGGAATCTTTCTCGATCCAATTTATGTGCACCGAGAAATGGTCAGGAGGCTCGGAAGTCGTATTTACTGCGTCATCCGCCGACCAAGCGGGGCGGGGCATCTGATACTACGGAATGCGTACAACGTCGCGATCCGGCGGGCCGTCATGTGCAGGTAGTTAAAGTGAAGCGAAGTAAAGTAGGTACCTTTCATTTAGGTAGGCATGTGGTAAAAGGGTACGTAGGACTGATCTCACATCTCTCGACGCGAGATTAACGAAGCCGGAGGGAGGGCAATCTGCATTTTGCAGCAAGCGATGTGACTCGATCTCAAAAGCGACGGGAGCTTCAGATATGACATGGATAGTCTGACAGGACTGACTCTTTGACAGGTCGTAGACGCCGGCGGCTAAAGGAGACGGACGGGTGGTGGGCACGCGGGAGGTGGCGCAAGTCAATCATGAAGTGATGGATGGGGTCGTATGTCTGGCCTTTAGTCTGGGTTATCCATAGAACGTCCAGCACGTCCAGCATAAGGCAGA